CGGTCCACAGTAGGCTGTTAAGTTTTTAGGTAGTCAAGTTTTTCGGCTGTGTGGGGACAGCACTCCTAACCCCTGCATTGTTCAAGGGTCAAATGTAGTTTGAGGTGATAGAAATTGAAGTGGTAATTGAATAGGCTGTGCTCTGCTGGCTGTCTGGGGCACTTAAACGTTGGTGTGACTGGCAAAGACTGGGCCTTTCCCAGGTTCTATCATTTTGATCAGGGAGTCTTAGCAAGCGTTCATAATGGAAACCATGTTTTTCCGTTCCCTGTTGGAGCAGTATAGCATAATAGGTAAGCATTTTGGTGTCAGACAGATCTGGATTTGAATCCTAGCTCTGCCTCTTGACTATCATGTGACCTAAGATAAGTCATTTAATTTCTCTAAATCTCAAATTTCCTCATTCGCAAAATAGAGATCATAATAGTACTTAACTCCAAGAGTTGTAGAAAGGATTGAATGAGATAATGCACATGGCGTTCTTAGTACAGGCCCTGGGACAGAGTAAGCATTCTGTAAATATGTTGTCATTGTTTCTCCCATCCCTGTACCTAGGAATAATAATCTGATAGTTAAAGATATAACCATTATTTTAATTAGAGAATGAAAGAGATAACCCAATATGAGGGAATGCATAGTTTTTAAAGCAAGCTTAAAGGATTGATTTAGAAACCATAAGCAGAGCAATCTCTTATCCCTGGCTCATTACAGTATAACTCCTTACATATCCCTGATGTTACAGTATACCATCAAGGTCATCTTCATAAATCAAGTTTAAGTGAGAAGTCCAATCCTTTCCCCTCCCAGTTTGGGGAGTTTAATGTGTGATAACCTCTTTCTTGTCAGTATGGTTTTTCAAGTGGCATTATCTTTATCATCACATGTTTTCAATTTAGTAATTACTGATTATTAGTTGGCTTTCAACTAAGCCTTTGGAGAATTTTATTTCACTTATAATCACATCGAAATTATATAGGCTTCTGCATTCTTTGAACAGCCAACAGTCCAAGAGTGGTACTGTCAATAAGTGCAGCGATTTATGCTGCACTTTGTTTAGAATAGTCCTTATGGTTTTCCATTGTGATAGCTTGTGATAATTGATTTTAAGGTGAAAGGAGTTGTTTTTATGATGGTGCAATTAAAACATAGAGCAAAGCAGTTCTTGGTACTATGAATGAAACATGCATTTTTATTTATAGCATTATACAAAGACCATTGTGTGAACCCTGTCTAGCATATTAGTTGAAAATAAAATTGTACGTTAGGCATTGTGTCATTCTTTGAAAGTTCTTTACCCCAATCTTTTGTGACTTAAAACAGTTCTGCCACTTCCTGTGTGACACCATGTTTTCTAGATTATTTTCTGGGGGTTTTTTTTCCTCTTATGTAGATCCCTTCAGTTGCTGTTGTTTTTCTTGTCTAAAATTCTTTACGTGAAAAGTCCTTTTAACTATTTTCAGAAGACCACTTAGAAGATATTCAGGCCAAGGTACCTTGTAGTGATGGTGATTTTGAATGGCATTCACATTGCTAATATAGCTCACAAAGTATGGATGTACCAACCAAATTGAGGTGAAAGAGACACTGAGAGACTGACTTCAAGTCTTTTTTTTTTTTTTTAAGATTTTGATTTATTTATTTGACAGAGAGCAAGAGAGGGAACATAATCAGGGGGCGTGGGAGAGGGAGAAGCGGGCTTCCCGTGGAGCAGGGAGCCCGACCACTGGGGCTCCATCCCAGGACCCTGGGATCATGACCTGAGCCAAAGGCAGATGCTCAGTGACTGAGCCACCCAGGCGCCCCCTGACTTCAAGTCTTAAGGGCATTTGGCCAGGATGAAATAGAGCAGGAGGGGAAAGAAACATCAAAGTTGCCACTGTCCTCTCGTTGATTAAATTCTCTCCAATTACGATTCCCTACCTAATGTCCAGAAAGGTGCCCAGATTGTCTTTCCATCTGTTTTTTCTTTTCCTTTACATTAACGTTGTTTCTATTTCCTTGGCCTAGATTATATATCTCTGTAGGGATTTAAGAAGGAAAAAATCTGGTTAACTGATTAATACAAAAGCCCCCTTTACCAGTCCCAATATTTGCATTTTCAAATGAACCTCCAACCTCCCAGGTGATGGGTTATTGAATTATGTGACCCCCCCAAAAAAAAATTGGGATGGGGCAAGAGTTTTTTTTCCCTTGACTCTTTAGATCTTTATTATACTTTGTGATCAGTTCCCTGAAGTTATTTTACTTTTGGTAGCTTCTCTATTCTTTTCTGTATTTCTGAACTCCTAGGTTTTCCAAAAGTTCTGTGTGACCATGTGTTAGGATGTTTTTGTGTATCAGGATTGGTGGTGATGACAGTTTTGTTTTCATAACTCTCACTGAAACCCACCCCACCCCCGCAACCTTCCTCCAACCTGAGCAGCCCTCTTGGGTAGCAATGAAACTATCAAAAATTTCCAGATCTCATTTTCTCCATATCTCACCCAAGGTGGAGACATAAGGAACTCTTAAATAGAGGTGAATAAACAAACACTTGGCATTTAAGAAAAAAATTACAGGGGCGCCTGGGTGGCTCAGTCGTTTTGCATCTGCCTTCAGCTTGGGTCATGATCCCAGCATCCTGGGAGTCCTGGGAGTCCTGGGATTGAGTCCCACATCAGGTTCCCTGCCGAGCAGGGAGCCTGCTTCTCCCTCTCCCTCTGCTGCTGCTCCTGCTTGTGTTCCCTCTCTCACTGTCTCTCTCTGTCAAACAAATGAGTAAAATCTTGAAGGAAAAAAAAAGGAAAAAGGAAAAAATTCAAATGGTCTGAGAGTTCTCTTTTTTACAGAAGAAACATAAGCCACACCATCCAAATATAATTGCTTTAGACTATTTAATGAAAATAGATGTTAGGAGGCAAATTATAATCAAAATGGTTTAAAGATAAAATAATCTTGAATTTTAAATAATCTTTCAAATAATTGCAAAAAAATTTCACTAACTTCAAATAAAATACTTACCTTCTTCATTCTAACTGGAACCAGCTTTGCCCCAAAAGTATTTAATGCATGACTACTTTGGTGTTCCCAGCCTTATATGTAAGTGCTCATGGAAATGGATATAATTAGATAGTGTAATAGTCCTTTTCATATCATATGAGCAAATTATGTAACATTAATAGAAACTTGCCAACTAAAGTGGTACCATATGTTCTGTACTCTAACCTAAATGTTCAGGTCAAGTCAATGTTTAGAGAAGTTTTCTTTTTTCACAAGACCATTCAATAATATATGGAATCCTGCTGGGAGATATGGTGCTTATTTAAAAGAAATCTTCACACCCCTACCACCCTCAGTGTATTCCAGAGATACTTTGAAAACTACTTAAACAGTCAAAGAGATGACATTTCTTTCTGAATCATATTCACCCCATATTAGAGAGCAGTAGGCCCTTCTAAACCTGAACTGATACTCTTCACAATAACATATAAAAGAATTAGGTATTCCCTATAAGGCTTATCATTATATAATGTGCAGTTCAGATGTTGCTGAACTTTTAGAGTTGTAAGTGAAAGTGCTACTTGCCATACCAAAGCCATGGTCAGATATTACTGGCCAAGTCCTGTGTAGATGTTATTTTCTGATTTTTTTTTTTTTAAATAGAGGGATGATAGCATTGTGTCTACTTAATTGAAAATATGAGAGGCAACTTAGGGTGAAATATGCTTCTCTTACTGTTTAGATTTATGTTACCTTCAGTTTATCAAAAGTCATTCTTCTAGATACAGTAGAAATTCTGACTTAAAATGGAACTGAAGATCATTCTCACTTGAATAAGAACTCAAAAGTTGACAACATATCAGGGTAAAGTCTGTGCCAGACCTCTTAAGTTTTTTGTTATTACTGTGATCTCTCACACCATAGGACTCCGTTTGGAATTTTTTAAATACATAATTACTATTTTAAAGCACTCTAATTATGTGAGTGCTTAATACCATTTAATGTCATTAGATACACTACTAATTGCTTAATATGGAACACGGGAAACAAAACTACACTGCAGCAGTACACAGTTTCATTTCTTCATTCAACCAAAAACAGAAATTTTTAATGCATTTATTAATCTTTAAGTCATATAAAAATTGTCCTGGTGTTATCTTTGGATATAGATTGGTACAGTTCTTTAGATATTTCATCAGTTCTTTCTTTTACATGGTGTGTTTGTTATTCACTTCAGTTTTTGCAAAGCAAATTTGTTTTGTTTTTAACAAGCAGGCTTTAACTGCACAACTTGGCTTTTCTGTAAGTTCGTATGATTCCACTGTTCTCCCTTACCTAGTTGTAAATGCCATGCTTCTCTAATGAAAACTTCATATGTGCAGTGTTTTACTACCTAACCAAATGCCAATTTTTATTCTTAGGTACTTATCTGTGAGGGTTGCAGTTGCTAACATGTAATATACTTCGTTTAGGAAAAAAAATTTCTTCCCTACATCTCATTCTGGAACATTCTATCCAGTGGAATGCAACACAAGGCACATTAAAAGTAGGCCCTGCTTCATGGTATATTGGAAGTTTTAAGACAACAGAGTCCAGCTGTTTCTTCTTTGTAACAAAATGGAATTATTTGCCCTTGCTCTTTTTTTTTTTTTTTTTAACTCTGTCTCCTGTCTTTCTCCCACTATTCTGCCCTCAAAAAAGAATCTTAGAGCTGGCACTCCAAGAGTTTAGCAGGCAACCTTTTCTACTTTTGGAGGGGGCAGTTGTTAGGTTTGGGACTTGGCAGAGCATTAAAGCATTGTGTTAGCTAGAAAACTGAGGGACATTCCTTATCAAACCATGACAATGTACTGCCGTAACTTAATAAAAATTGCCCAAGTGACGGTGTGTCTGCTGAATGGATTTTCTTACACCATCTGGTTGTCATTGTAGTTTTTTTGTTGTTGCTTTCATTTGAAATGTGCTGATGATTTTGTTTTTATTCCGTAGCATTGAACAGATGGGTTGATTATTCTTTTCAGATATTAATAAGGCAGCGGAAAGAAGAAATATGAATACGGCTCCATCAAGACCCAGCCCCACACGAAGGTAAAGTACCCTGAAGCAGTGAGTTACCTTGGGAGAGTTGGGCTCTGGGGAGTTAAGCCCAACTTCGTACATCAAGGGTCTTTTCTTCCCCCCAACAAATCAGAAACGCTCAAGCAAACAATAAGAACATGAACCTTGTGTGAAGGGCCTTGCTGCTTTTTTTAAACGTACATCAGGAGATGCAGAGAAGCTTTGCGTTTTCGGTGACAAACCCAGCAAGTTCAGCTTGCAACATGAGTTGCAGGCGATTGGAAGAGGATAAACCTCTGTCTGTCCCCAGCTCACGTGTCACTGGGAGCCTCCACAGCAGGAGGAGTGCCCCAGGGTCGTTGGTGTGTGCCATGCTGCACTGCAGTGGGCAGCAGAGATTCGACTCTTCATTCCAAATGGCTGCCGGTCCAGATGTTAACCAGGTTTATGGAAAGTGCTGCTTGAGAGATTGCTGCCGTGCCTGTGCTGCAGATCCCCTGTTTGCTCGCATGCTTGGGTTACCATTTGAGGGGAAATAAAAAGGGCGAAAACACTCCAGCTCTCAAAAGTCTCCCTTTTTCTTAGCTTTTCTAGAAATAAAAGGCATTTCCCTAATATATTCTTTCTTCCATTGTCTACAAAAGAGATAGTCCTGATGTATACCCATGAGATATGCATTAAATTGGCCCCTTCTCTCAAAGAAGAGCCTTATTAATGTTACCATTTACACCAAAGGTGCAGTATCCAAACTAGCCCCTTACTAGTACACAAGTGGATGTGGTGTGTGCACTTTTGTGTGGAATGCAGACAGATATCTATTCCATATCTTGTGTCTCTTCATGGCCCAAATGGATACTCAGTATGGATTTTGCTTTTTCCTCTAAGTAAAAATACAGTTTTCCACAATAAACTACATACTGTGAGACTACATTTCCTACAGTGAACTGAACACTGCTGAGTACGATGAATCCTGGTCTGTACTGGTAGCTCTGCAGGTCACCTGGGATATACCCAACTAACTTACACATAACATACAGCTGTCCTTTGAGACAAAAACACCTATATTTTGTTCCCCACTTACAGGAAAGAATGGCTGCTGTATGTTTGGTGTATGTTGCCCCCACTTGGATGTGAAGGGTGGGTATTTTCTAAGCTACCAGGAATAGATTATACGTGACTGCTCTGCAGAGTTCAAGCAGACTGTAGCAGCAAGGTGGTGGTTTAATTTGGCGGCTTTGAGCACTCTGCCGGTGCAAAGGAGTTGAGTCTGACACAACTACAGCTATGCTACAGCTGCCAGGTGGATGCCCTGGCTGTCCGTTGGTCTCACTGCAGAAGTGAGCATATACGTTGCTGTTCTGTCTGTCCTCTCTAACACTGTAAGGAATGCCTGTAGCTTACAGGTAAATACTGTGTTGATTGATTTTGTGGGTATGTGTTGAGTATCCTAAAGAACTTAATCCTGCAGAATTTTAGCAGTTCCATATAATGTCTGCTTCCATTATGCTGCATCAAACCATGCTATAGATGTTAGGAAGTCCCATCTGTGTTGCTTCTCATTGCCCCAGTAAACCTGGAATACAGAGGGCTGAGTTTACATCTAATGGTCAGAAATAGGGGGCATCCATTAGAAGCTGTGGCTGCCAAGCGGCTTGAAAAGAGAGAGATACAGTGTGTATCCAGTTTCCAAGGAGCAATAATGCATGTGTTTGAACTAGGTAGCTTACCAGAAGGGGTATGGAATGGGTAACTGTAAAGACACGGGCTCTGCTGGTAAAATCCACTCCCCTCTCTTGTCCCCATGGATGCTTATAATCTCTGGATAATGTCTATGTGTTTTTGCAGGCAACCCCCGCCCCCAAAAAACAAAAAACAAGGCACATTGAAGAATACAGAGTAGTTCCTGTTTGTGCTCTTGATTTATGTCATCTTATTAATGATACTTAGCTAAATGCTTTTAATGTTTCCAACTGATTATAGGTATTTAGCAGACATTGGCAATGTTGAGGAAATAACCATCTCCCCTGCTTGGAATCCAATACAGCTATTGCCAGTACATTAAATTAAAAAGATTAATTTCATCCCAACTTAAAATAACTCTATAATTTCATCTGTAATGGAAGAAATAGCTGTATGCTTTTCTTCTTTTTTCTAATCATAGATCCCCTAAAAAAAAAAAAAGCATACAAACAACATTGGAGGGGGTTTTTAAAATGTTCTCCCTACCAGAGACATAAGTACAAATATGTCACTTTTATATACCTTCTAAAATATCACCTTCCTCAGGGCGCCTGGGTGACTCAGTCGGCTAAGCACTTGCCTTTGGCTCAGGTCATCATCCCAGGGTCCTGGGATTGACCCCCGTGTCGGGCTCCCTGCTCAGCAGGGAGTTTGCTTTTCCCTCTCCCTCTGCCCCTCCACCCCGCTGGTGCTCGCTCTATCTCAAATAAATAAAATCTTTTTTAAAAAAATAAAATATCACCTCCCTCAGAAACAATTTCTAAAATGAGGTTGTTTGAGATGTGGATAGGGCAGTAGCTTCCTATTTTTTTTTTACAATCAATAGGAGGCACAGTTGGGCTAATTTAATTTCCATCCAGAATCAGTCTTCCCCCTTGGTGCTATGTCCCTAACTGGGTTCCTCAGCATGTTATTTAACATGATGAAGTATCATACAGTTATACTTAATAAGGTTCAGGGAAGAAGGATATTCACATTTAGTAGAATGTGTTCTGAGCCCTGTCTAAAACCTGAGCAGAGAGTCCCAGTTTTTACCTTTAAGAATAAAAATTTAAGGGACGTCTGGGTGGCTCAGTCGGTTAAGCGTCTGCCTTCGGCTCAGGTCATGATCTCAGGGTCCTGGGATCGAGTCCTGCATCGGGCTCCCTGATCAGCAGGGACCCTGCTTCACCTTCTGTCTGCCCCTCCCCCTGCTCGTGGCTCTCTCTCTCTCTCTCTCTGACAAATAAAATCTTTAAAAATAAATAATTTAAAAACTCTAATGCCAGGCAAATTTGAATATTGTATTCAAAACAGAACACTAACATTTTGATCATCACACTGATCATGTATTGTCTCTTGTGGTATACCAATAGGGCAGAAATAAAATGGAATAAGTAGGCAAGATGGATGACTAGTCAGCCTGGAAGAGGCTAATCATTTCTCTAAGGGTGAGCACTGGATATCACTCTTTGGGTACATACTTCCAGTCAGAGCCTTGAAGTAATTCCAGATATACCAGTCTGTTGACAACTGCCAAACTGCCTTCATTTGGCAACCCCAATAAGTTATGTGTCCCCAGCCATAGGATATGCATTGTTCACAGGGGAGAAAAAGTGTATTTGTGGCAGATATTTCCCTTAAGTGGTACTTTTATGTCTTCAGTGCTGCTCCTTTTAATAAAATTGTTTCTAAGCATGCTGGCAAGACCTTTGTAACACCTTGTTTTGCTGGACGTTAACCTTGAGTGTCAAAACACCTAAGTACCTTTGGGAGTTTTCACGGGATTATCACCTCTTCAAATGTCTCTGTAAGCCACAGTTCTGCTGGCATTGCTCTCTGTTCAGTAATGTGCCTCCCTAATGACTCCAGCTGTCAGCGTGTAATTCTGACAATATTGGTCCAGCCAAGCACAGAACTCTGCATCAGGGATCCCTGCTCTGGATCAAATATCGACCTGAATTCTCATCATTTAACCCTTGGACCACTTCATTGGACTCTTGGCTACATGGCTTAGTTACCATGTAAGTTGTCTAGCATTGGTGCTAGGCACTGGCCCTTACCTTCTTCAGAGACCGTGATTCTGGTTGTACCTCAGATGTTCTCAGTTTCTACCTTCGGCTCAACACCCTGGCAATCCAGGTCTTGGAGCATACCCCTACACAGATGTGGCCTCCAAGTGAGACTCTGTATTTTCTAAACCTTCCTGTCTGACATTAAAAAGAGCAAATAGAACTAATTTGTCTACATCAAAAGTTCTGCAGAGAATTTTCCCTAATGTATTTGTTAAGGATGTTAGGCTTGGTGCCTCTTCGGTGAAAGTCATCGGGGATCGGCTCATCAGAAATATCCTAGCTGTAGACAAGTTTCTTATGTGGCTCAAGATGACTTCTATCTACAGTGCTAATTCCTTTGATAACCACTTGCTCCTTGGGTATGAGACAGTGCTAGCTCTTGGTGGGCCTCGCAAGTTAAGATTCCAGGCTGTGATTACCTCTGCACTAACACTTGAAGAACAGCCATCGGTTCCCAGGAAGTGCCACCTCTACCAACAGAAAAGTCATATCTGTGCTTGAGAAAATCATCATCGTGCTTCCTAGGGAGAAGCATGGACACTTACAAAATTTGGATTTGTGAGGTGTGATACCTCATTGCACCCCATATCCTACCAGCACCTAATGGCAAAATTCTGCACAAGTCTGTTGTCTCTGTTTCTCACAGTAACATGGAGCCATCATGGTGGGGAATCAACATCACACAGCAGCCAGCCGTTTTAGATAATATTTGTGGACAGTATCTGTGACAGAACAGAAGTACCAACAACTATTGAAGATTTTTTTTTCAGGAGCAGGGGAAAAAAAGAAAAGCTGGCCCTCCCAAGGAAAATAATTCCAGTGAACAGAAAGGAGATGCTGACAAAAAAGGACAGAGACCTTCCTCCCTGACATTCTGTAGAGGCAAGGCCAAAGAACATCATCCTGGGCTTGAGGTTCCATTCTCTGGAGGAAGAGAAGCTCAAAGTCCATCACAGACTTCCAAGATGATCATCTGTCAGTTCTTACTCTGTAGGCTCTCAAATGCCTAGTGCTCTGCACACCTCTTTAGTCCCTGGAAGAGAAGCTCTTCTACCAGAAGCACATCACTTATCATCTGAGCTGTGGCTTTTCCCTTCACCCACCCTTCTCTTACCTCTCAAATGTTTCTAATGATGTGACTATATTTCTCTCAAGGCAAAAAGCATTTGGCTTTTCTCCCCAGCTGAATAGATGAGAAATTTATAACAATTTTTGTAGTGTTTGTCATCTGCCTTCAGTTTGTGGACTCCAGTGCTGAAATTTATTTAACTGGTTCAGTTTAAAAGGTTCAGTTTCTTTTTAGCCTCTAGTGACGTGGTACCTGAGGGTACGCTGCATTTGGTCTCCAGTAAAACACCTCTGGTGCCTTGGGATGAGATTGTGAACCCTGTTATGCTCCAGAAACTTGCTTTTAACCCACTTGTTATCTAAGGTCAAGCATCTCATTCAGAGGCTTCCTTCTTGCGCACTCTGAATTCCTGCACCCTGTACCTCCCTTTTGTTAGCTGGTTCTTGTTTTGAGAAAGATGTTGGGGCCAGCAGCAGGAGCCCTTTTGTTCTGGGGAGATCTTTGTTAGGGTCCTAAAGCAACCCTCAAAGGTTTTTTGTTTTTGTCTCCAGAAGAACAGCTTCTGCCATACTGCTCATCTTTTGGAGAAAGGAGAAAAGCTTAGCCCTTTCATAGTATTATCTTCTCTGTTCCTACTTCCACTGTTTGGTTCTTTCCCCCTTGTGAATATCATCTTTTCTACATTTTACCCAGAAGGCAATTGAGGGAATTAGTAGTTTTGTTGCATATGGACTCTAGATTTATTGAGGGAAAGGGAGTGCTTGCCTTCTCACACTGGAAGCAAGAACCGAGACTTTGGGATTCTAGGGTTATGATCAGCCTCCAGGGATGGACTCTGACAGGTAAGTAAGATATTTCAGTGGATTCAAAAGAATGAGAACAATATGGCGTTTTTAATTATTCTAATGCTGTGAATAATGTGCTGTGACTCGGTGTTCCTAGCCGTATCCCCGCCCCTCATTTCCACAACCCGAAGGCTTTGTGTGTGGTCTGTGGTTTATCAGGTTCATGGTATCTCTCATCCCTAATTGCCAAGAACACTTGAAATCAGATTCTACCTCTAATGACTACTTCTGACTGCCCCCCCAAGGCAGGATTATCTGCTAATCATTAATCCAAAAATACTTAACAGTTGTCTCTTCCCATAGGATCCTGAGTGTTTTCCCACATTATATACTCTATCAGATGTTACACGTGTGAGGAAGATTATATGACATAATAAGAAAAAACAAAGTAAGAATCTTGCTTAGTCTGCACTTTAATAGGAAAAATGTTTAGCGCCTCCTCATTTAAACTCCCTGGTCTCCCATGTTTGCTCCCATAAATCAAGAGTACTTGTGAGCCTTAAAATATATGACAAGGACTTTTTATAGATACAGAAGTGACATTTAAGTTATTTTTGCTGTGCCCATGTGAATGAAGTAAAATTGAGGCTTTTTACCAGGCTTGATGGCATCGTGATGGCTGCCTAATATGTTTAATCATGGTAGATGACAAAAGTTTAAACAAAACATGACGCCTGCTCGTAAGAGGCTTACAGTTGAGTTAAATAATTAGATTCATAAACATTTACTGAACTCCATGCTGTTGTCCTAGGGATCCAAAGACTTCAGGAGAGCTTACTCTTCAGTAGAAAAGCCATGTAAACAGATAATTACAGAACCGTGTGATAAGTGCAGTGATAGAAATACAACATAAGTCATTGAGCATCTGCTGCATGCCAGACATTATAAACCTACACAGTGGGTTTATAGTGGAGAGTCAAACTGACAATCCTTGTTCTCATGGACTCACAGTCTAGTAGAGCAGACAGACGTTACATAAGTAAATAGATATGTCAAATTGTGATAAATGACAAGTAAAAATAGTGCTATGAGAAAATGTGGCCAGGACTTAAGGGCAAAAAATAAACTTTTAGACTATGAGAATCAGGGGTAAGAGACACATATTATGCTGAGACATAGAGAATGAGTATGGATCTGTTCTTGCTGCTCAAGGAGAGGCATCAGGAAAAACCATGGCTAGTTACAGCTGAAAGGCCCATGTGGCAAGATAGTGGTGAACTCCAGAGGGGGTGGGTAAGGTTGGAGAAGATAGCCAAGGCCACGTAGCACCTGGCTAACCTTACTGGAGATTTCGGATTGAATTCCGAATACTGTGGGAAGCCAGTGAAAGGTGTTTACATATTTGAAAAATCACTCTAGAATAATATGGAGAAAGATTAGAAAAGAGGCAAGAGCAGAAATGGGAAAGTCTTTCCCCACGGTAGAAGTCTCTTGCTCTGGTTTTAGGGAAAGGTCACTGTGGGTTGGCCTTCAGCAATACTAACGGAAATAAACATGGACAGAATTGATACTAATTTCAGAGAAGGAAGAGAATTTGGAAATGTGTTTGGAAGAGCGGATGGGGCTTTGGAAAAGATGACGTTCAGTTTCCTGGCTTGAGTAACTGAGTAGGTAGGTGTGCCATTATTGAGATGGAAAGGACTGGAGGAGGAGCATATTTGTTGGGGAAGTTCAAGAGTTCAGGGCAGATTTTATGGAGGTGGTAATCCTTAAAGTAGGTCAAACAAGAAACTGTTGTGAAAAGGTAAATATCAGATAGAGATGAGTAATAGAAATAGTAGGTGCTCTAAGTGTTGAGCAGCAGGAAAGATCAACAGTTATTAGGGAGATCAGAGAAGATCTCTTGGAAGATTTGGGACATGAACTTTCCTGTGAGGATTGGGTGATACTTGCGTTAGTGCAGGAAAAATATTCCAGGTTGAAAAACCATGTGAACAGAAATCCTGAAGCAGATAGGATCGTGTGAGTTAAGTCATAAGAGCAGAACGGACGAGGTTGAATCAGGAAATGGGGGAGCAATAATAGTTGGGAGGGGTACCTAGAAGTGTGATTGTCAAGCTGCGGTTGGTAACAGGTATAAATGTGAATGGTTAATCTGATGTTTATGTGTTGAATGAATTGAAATCTGGAAGATTGGTTTTTGGTTTGGTTTGTTTTGTTTTGGAAATTTGTTGATATCAAGCAGAAGGGTTTGGATTAAACTTTGAATCCAGTAGGAATGAAAAAGAAAAGTGAATAGGATTCAAGTGACTTAATGGGGAAAGGAAAGGAAGAATCGTTAACTTTCAAGAACTTAAACCTTGGCAACTAGGAAGATGATTTTCGGCAGAAGTGAAAAAGTCGGGAATGGGACTAAGAAGTGGGTTGAATAACAAGTTTAAACAGTGGGGTGGAATGTCTCATGAAAAATATTGTATGAGAGCAGCCCAAACTTATCTGTGACTTCAAACACTGTTCAGAAAAATAAAGAACCTGGTTCTGCCTTGAACTCAGATTGAGAGAGACCACTGCTCAATAACTATGTTGAGAAGACAGAGAAGCTGAGTGTTCTTATACTTTACTGTATGTGTCATATTGTACTTTTTCTCTTTTTCCCTTAATTTGATTATCCTGCTAGATATTTTAAGTGAGGTTTTCTGTACTTCAGGAACAACTACTTTGATTACAGTTACTTTGTATGAGATTGTGCATTGCTCCTTTTTTTCTTCATGAGTCTTGCCCCTTACTATGTCCCTCCAACTTTCCCCCCTTTTAAAATCTCTTTCAAACATGTCTGGTGGGAAAACAGGTTCTAGGGGAAAGATGCTTCCACTTTGAAAACCTGTGGAGATTAAAATGATAGCATGGCATGTGTAAAGAATACCGAATTACTCCCTGACAAATACTGTGACCCCAGTCAAAATCTTTGACTTTGGGTCATACATTCTTCTTTTGAGATCCTGAAGCCTACTAGTCTTTATTTGCTGACCAGATGGGTGACTCTCTTTAAAATTTTAGTCATGTTCTCACTGTTTGGCTGCCATGTTTTAGAGAAAAATGCTTGGAGAGGGTGGGGACTTCTTCCAATAAAGAGCTGAAGGGTTGGCTACCTTCAATTTCTTTGTCTTAGCTCCTCCTTGCTACCTCCCACAGAGATCCATATGGCTTTGGAGACGGTCGAGATACAAGACGTGATAGATCCCCAATCCGAGGAAGTCCAAGGAGAGAGCCCAGGGATGGCAGAAATGGCCGGGATGCTCGTGATAGCAGAGCCATGCGAGACCCCCGAGACTTGCGGGACCACAGAGATAGCAGAGACATTCGGGATCACAGAGACAGCAGAAGTATGCGTGATGCTCGGGACATGAGAGACCTTAGAGACTTTCGTGATCTAAGAGACTCTAGGGACTTTCGAGATCACCGGGACCCCATGTACGACAGATACAGAGATATGAGGGACTCCCGAGAGCCCATGTACAGGTACATATACAGCCATTTGCTTGGATTTTGTTGTTGTTGTTTTTTATAAGTCTTTTATGGGTATTCTGCCAAACTAATTGAAAGCTCTGTGAGGGCAGTGACTTTATCAGCCTTATATTTCCAATGTCTAGTAAGTGGCAGATGTGCTACTCAATAAATACTTGCTGAATTTGTGAATGTTTGATGAATTATGCTTAGCGAATGAATCTGGATCACTCCATGTGACCTGTGAAAGGCAGCATTGTGCAAATGGAAAAAAAAAGATGGAGCTCAAATTGTTTTGGCAGTGCAGAAACACAGGGAAAATGTACATGTGGCTAGTAGGTCTGGGGGAAAAACAATCGGCATCATTAGTCAAAAGGGAAATGCAAATCAAAGCCACAATGGGCTACCCCTTCATATCTACTAGGTTGGCTATATCATTTATTAAGGAAAACAACAAAAGAAGGTAACAATATTGGCAGGGTGTGGAGAGAGAGAACCCTCATGCATTGTTGGTGGGCATATAAAATAAGGTGGCTGCTGTGGAGAACGGTTGGCCGGAAGTTCCTCAAAACATTAAATACAGCAGAATTACTCGGACCCATCAATTCCACTCCTGGGTACATACCCAAGAGAACTGAAAAGGACTCAAACAGGTACTTGTATGTAAATGTGCATAGCAGCACTCTCCACAGTAGCTGAAAGGTGGACAAAACCCAAATGTCCATCAAAAGATGAATGAATAAAAAAAGTGATCTATCCATACAGTGAACCATTATTCAGCCATAAAATGGAAAGTAATTCTGACACCTGCCACAACAAGGATGGACTTTGAAAACATAATGCTAAATGAAATAATCCAGACGACACAAAAGAACAAATACTGTATGATTCCGCTGACATGAATAATCTAGAGAAGGCAAATTCTTATGAGACAGAAAATAGATTAACGGTTACAGGGTTGGGAAGTGAAGAGTTCCTGCTTAATGGATACAGAGTTTCTGTTCTGGGTGTTCTCCTCAAGGTGATGAGAAATGTATCTGCGTATTTATACGAAATATATATATGGATGGATGGATGGATTTTAAACCATAGTTTTTAGAAAACACAGGCAAGGAGAATGGGGAAGCATCAAAATTAATATCAGTAGTTACTATCAATTATTTTGCATTTACTTTAAGCCAGGGACTATTCTGAGAGCTTTCTATACATCCTCCCAGTCATTTTGCAAAGTAGGTTAACATAGTCATGGCCACAGAGTGATAAGCGGTGAATCTCAGACACAAACCTCGTTTGTCTAATCCCAAAGTCCTGCCTTACTGTGCTGCTTCCTCACAGAGGAGTGGGTGTTGAAGAATTCTCTGTATCTGAGTTTTGCAGCATAGGTGAGTTTTAACTTTGTGCAAATTTCTTCCACTTTTCAGGAGAGAAAGCTCTTATGACCGATACCTGCGAATGGATGACTATTGCAGGAGAAAGGACGATGCTTACTTTGACCGCTATAGAGACAGCTTTGATGGACGAGGCCCTCCAGGCCCAGAAAGTCAGTCTCGTGCAAAAGGTAAAGCAGCAGTTTATTTCTGGTGCTGGTGAAGCACTCGACCAATGAAACAGGAAACGAATAACCAACTAGAAAGGGACTAATGTCTTGGTGAAGCAATCCACAAAAAGAAGAAATACAAATATCCTGCTAATATGTGGGGAACATTCAGCTTGAAAATAATTCATAAAATGCAAATTAGTACCATCATCCGGTTTAGTAATGTAACAAGAAGAAATGAATATGAGATTCCAGCAGTAAGAAATGAACAAAAAGTTGGAGCTAAAGAGGGTTAAGTGCTTGCTTTTTGCCAATTAACAAAATAACTACAACTGTTTGCACTATCTGTGCATCATGTGGGTTTTTTTGTTTTATATATAATTTTTATCTAATAGCATCTCTTTTTTAGGTAAAGACAAATATGTTTTTTCAAAGCCTCATTTTTCTCAATACATCTTTAAAGATTTTTTAATTATTTCATAGTTGAATTAACCTTATTTTTAATCTGTAATAAAACTTTACTGCATGATTTTTTTTTTCCAGAACAAATTACAAATACCTGTCAATAAGGGTCTTAAATAGTTGTCCCCAAAATGCAAATTAGAATAATAACAGAATACCATCTTTTTTTTTTTTTTAAGATTTTTATTTATTTATTTGACAGAGAGGGAGAGAGCACAAGCAGGGGGAGTGGCAGGCAGAGGGAGAGAGAGAAGCAGGCTCCCTGAGGAGCAGGGAGCCCAATGTGGGGCTCAGTCCCAGGACCCTGGGATCATGACCTGAGCCAAAGGCAGTCTCCCAACCAGCTGAGCCACCCAGGCGCCCCAGAATACCATCTTTTACCGTGTTGGCAGGAATTTTCAAAAATGACAATACCCAGTATTGACTACAATGTGGAGAAATAGCACTAGGTGATCCACCCCTGTGAAGGGATAAGTTAGTAACAGCCTCTTTAGAGTAGCAGCCTTGATGTAGTATGTATCAGATGACACATTAAAGTGACCGTGCCCTCTAATCCAACATTCCGTTTCAGTGAATGTATAATAGTAAGAAACAATTGTACTGGCTATTTTTAGGAGGTAGTCCACAAGAGTAATTCAGAGAGAATGTGTATGTTATGACCTTGGCTTACAGGTAGTTTGGGATTCACAATAAGGCCTGTGACTTATTTTTATAGAAAGTCACAGTCCATATTTCGGTTTTCCTTGTTGGTGTCTTACAGAGCGTTTGAAACGTGAGGAACGGCGTAGAGAAGAACTTTATCGTCAATATTTTGAGGAAATCCAGAGACGTTTTGATGCCGAGAGGCCTGTTGATTGTTCTGTGATTGTGGTCAACAAGCAGACTAAGTAAGAATCCTTTGGGCTATTTGTCCTGAGTAAGGAGAAAGGTCAGAAAAGAAATTAAGACTTCTTTTGGCAGCTGTGCCCACTGAATTTGGGCTGTGTATTCTAGCATTGCTCTCCTGTGTTTAGCCAGAGTTCTGTCAGTTGTAGCTTACAGAAAAGCTATTGCAAACTGGCTTAGGCCCCAAAGGGAAATTTTTAGTTTGCTTAGCTGGAAACTTCGGGTATGGCCACATCCGGTCAAACCATGTCATCAAGACTTGGTCTCTGTGTCACCTTCATGCTCAGACATGCTTGAAAAGGCAGAAGGGCACTGACCCTAGACATTTATCATCTTCTTCTTTTTTTTTTTTTTTTATTTATTAGAGACACAGTGAGAGAGGGAACACAAGCAGAGGGAGTGGGAGAGGGAGAAGCAGGCTTCCCACAGAGCAGGGAGCCCGATGCGGGACTCAATCCCAGGACCCTGGGATCATGACCTGAGCCAAAGGCAGGCACTTAACTAGTGAACCACCCAGGCGCCCCTAGACATTTATCTTCTTAGCAGAAACTTCTTTCCCAGTGCTTCTACCTAAAGGCCTGGAACTGTTTCTCACTGTACTGACCTAGCTCACTCTCCCATCCTTGAACCAGCAGTGCTGGGATGCCTTGATCGATTAGGGCTAGGTTATATACCCATTCCTAGAGCTAAAGGTGGAATTGGGCCTGTGGAATCATGTGGACTGAGTAGAAGTGTGCTTTCCCAAAGGAAAATTGAAGAGGGAATATATTTTGGTCATGCAAGGCGGTAGATGCTCCCTTCATGGAAAAACCCCGAATCCCCAATCCTTTGAGAGGTGCATGTCTCTGCATTTGTCGGCCAAGCCTTCTTTGTGAAGGACCTTTGTGAAGGTCCATGATCTTGCAGAACTGTTAAGAGACCATTCTGGCCAATCCAAAGTTCACAGTACCTTTTCGCACGCCTCTTTTTCACATTCTTTCCTGAAGAGACTGAGCGGAGAGGCAGAAGGGAGCATAGCAGCTTGCAGGCTTTGGCACTAGCTATGTTCCCTTTCCCCAGGTGGTTAGTAAATAACTTCATGTGTTTTCCAGCAGTTTGGGGTTAAAGAGCTAATTTCAAGGCACAGACTAGGGAAATAGGTGTTGAGACACGAAGCAGCAGGCAGAGTTCCCAGGCTCTGGGCTGCCTTGTTTAGAGATAGATGCTGCTTTGACTGTAGATAGCTTTTTTTTTCTTGACACATGATAATAGCTGTCATTTTCTGAGCACCTACTCTACCACCCCTTGCTAGGCGCTTTACTTAAATTATTTTTAATCTTCACACTCGTCATGTTACATGGATATTCATTCAGTTCATCTGTTATATGTATGGTGGAGCTATAATGGTGAGCACGCACACAGGGCCCCTTCCTGTTGTGGAGCTCACATCCTAGTCAGGCAGATGACAAAAATGGATGTATTGGTGATGAGCCCTAGGAGAAGAAATACATCAAGGATCTCATTTAGATTGGAGAGAAGGTCAAGGGAATAACATGAACCGAGCCATATTGTTCCTGTTTTATTGGTAAAGAAACAGGTCTGTAAGAGGTTAAGGAATTTGCCTAAATCTTCACAACTTCGTAAGTAAATGGTAAGGCTGGGATCCAAGCTTACCTCTGTAGCATTGAAGCCCATGTTTTTTTTCCATTATGTTATGCAGCCACCCCAAAGACAGACACATGCCACAAGTCTTAGGCAGCAGGATGGTGTTTAAGGAAGGACCACTGGACTACAGGACCAAGAGAAGGACCTGGGTGCTAAGTACTGCGCTGTTGGCCACTTGCGTGTGACCATTCTGAGCTAGTCCTGACCATTCTGAACTAGACTAGTACAAGAGAAGGAAGTGGTCGAGATTCTTGGAGCCTGAAGAGGGCACTAGGGAGACACCGGATATGCTAAAGATTTGAACTCCCCTTAGGAGCCCACACTGCTGGCTGAAGTGCCGCAAGGTACAGATTGGGAGTTGGTCAGGGAGTACTCACCTGGATCCTGTTTGTTTCTACAGAGATTATGCTGAATCTGTGGGGCGGAAGGTACGAGACCTAGGCATGGTAGTGGACTTGATCTTCCTCAACACAGAGGTGTCACTGTCACAAGCCTTGGAGGATGTTAGCAGGGGTGGGTCTCCTTTTGCTATCGTCATCACCCAGCAACACCAGATTCACCGCTCCTGCACAGTCAACATCATGTTTGGAACCCCACAAGGTATGCAGACCCAAGTGGGTCAGATTTCCAGAGGTAGTCACTAGTCCATTAATTCTTTCATGTCTTACTCAGAAGAAGCAGGTTTTGAGCAAATGACTTGTAGGTCAGCTCAAATGTGGCAGGGCCCTTTTATAAACACACTGGAGGAGATTTGCATGGTCACATTCTCATCTGATACTCTTTCAGTGGATACAGTTCTGGGCCTGCTATCTAGAAAACATTTATTTAGCCCGTAGGTAGAGACAGTGGGATGCTGGCAAATGTTTAACAACTAGTTCTGGGGAGGGGGCAGGAGGCAGTGTGGTTTACAGCATTTGCTGATCTCCATGGTGTAAATGCTCCCACTGTGTCCTGTTTCAAGCCACCAACATGAAGTCACTTCAGAAGAGAGGCGCACCGTCGGCTCTCGCTCATGAGAGCAGGTGCCGGTGCATCTCTGGCGCACACTGCACTGAGTGCAGTAGAATCCTTGCTTTCACCAGACTTCGTAATAAGGGACAGAGAACACAACAAGCGATGAGGATACTATCTGCGAGTGTGCTGGAGAAGTAGAAGGGGCAGGAGAGCAGGGAGGAGGCCCTGGAAGTCCTTGAAGCCCTTCCCTGAAGTTGCTTTCAGTACTTCACACTCAGAATGCCCTGATGCCCTGGTCATTGCTCCTCCAGTGTGGACTTATCCCTTTTCCCACCACACACGGAATCTCTTTGCCTGACAGGTTATACCCATAACTATAAAATACATTAAGGCTCTCCACTAAGTCATTTGGTCATTTGTCTCTCTGAGGAATAGTTCTCAAGATGTGTGAGGACATTTATGTAAAGTTCTAAGACTTCTCACCGCCCCATAAGTCATGTTGCCCGCGGGTGAGGAGAGGAGGTTATTTAGGGTTACATCTGATCTTAATCCATGACCTTTGAACTGATGAATTCAAAAACAGTAGGCCACCTCTATCCTGAGCATCGCAGTGGAGAGCCAGGCTTTACAGAAGGCCTTTTTTGGCCCCCTGCGGCCTGCCTCCCATGGTAATTCCTTATGTGGTCTTTTTGAATCTGTGGGAGACTGTCGTGTTTCTTTTGATTTTTGCTACAAGTCTGTGATCCAGGAATTCCCCCAAGGAACCAGCTCTGTGAAAGGTATGTGTTCCCCACCAAAGAAATCTATTCCCTTATCTTTCCAGCCTTCATTTCCCTCCTCCCTGCTCCCCATCCCAAGGCTTTTTGTCACCAAAATGGTTTTCTTGCTGGTTTGAGGTTAGGAAAGGTCTGGTAGAGCCCAGCAGGTGGGCACTCAAGTGTGTGAGGGGAGAAAATGACTCCTGTCATTCTGTCCTACAGAGCATCGCAACATGCCCCAGGCGGACGCCATGGTGCTGGTGGCCAGAAATTATGAGCGTTACAAGAATGAGTGTCGGGAGAAGGAACGTGAGGAGATTGCCAGACAGGCAGCCAAGATGGCCGATGAAGCCATCCTGCAAGAAAGGGAGCGTGGAGGCCCCGAAGAAGGAGTGCGCGGGGGACACCCCCCGGCCATCCAGAGCCTCCTCAACCTACTGGCAGATAATAGGTACCTCACTGCCGAGGAGACTGACAAGATTATCAACTACCTGCGAGAGAGGAAGGAGCGCCTTATGAGGAGCAGCACCGACTCTCTGCCTGGTGAGCTACGTGGCAGGGCCGAGGTGAAGTTCTGACTCTGCATTTCTCTAACCCCCAGGCGCTGTTGGGAGGGTAGCAGGCCCAGGCTCTTTGGGGTGGGTAAGGGGAATGAGCCCATGCCCTGGGTTCTCCCACGGGCCATCCTTGCTGATGTAATGATAACTTAAGATTTGGGTACTGAATTCCAGTCCCTGTAGCAAACATGGCAATGGGTGGGCTAGGATTGCTGGCCACCTGGTAACCGAGATGGATGCCCTTTTGTCCTTAAGTCCACTGGGGCACCTAAGCTGTTTACTGGAGACAGCACATACCATGAAGTAGCCTCTTGGGGAAATTGATGTTACAGTCTGTGTATTATGTGATTGATGTGATCAGTGATTGTTGTTCTTCCCTGGCTGCTAAGCCGCCTGCCCACAGAGGGTACTTCAACTGGATACCTCCTCCTTCTGTCTTTTAGGCCCGATTTCCCGCCAACCACTCGGGGCGACCTCGGGTGCCTCGCTGAAGACACAGCCAAGCTCCCAACCGCTCCAGAGCGGCCAAGTGCTCCCCTCTGCTACACCCAGTCCAGCTGCACCCCCCACCTCCCAGCAAGAGCTTCAGGCCAAAATCCTCAGCCTCTTCAATAGTGGCACGGTTGTGGCCAATAGCAGCTCTGCATCCCCCTCCGTCGTTGCCGGAAACACCCAGAACCAGAATTTTTCCACAGCAGCGAACAGCCAGCCTCAGCAAAGATCACAGGCCTCTGGCAATCAGCCTCCAAACATTTTGGGACAGGCGGGATCTGCTCGGAACATGGGCCCCAGGCCTGGGGCTCCTTCCCAAGGGCTCTTTGGCCAACCTTCCAGTCGCCTGGCACCTGCCAGCAACATGGCTAGCCAGAGGCCCGTGTCTTCCACGGGTATCAACTTTGACAATCCAAGTGTACAGAAGGCTCTGGACACCCTGATCCAGAGTGGCCCTGCTCTCTCCCACCTGGTTAGCCAAACCGCAGCACAGGTGGGGCGGCCCCAGGCCCCAATGGGATCTTACCAGAGGCATTACTGAGGCTCAGTCTCTCAACTCCCCCCCCCCACCCCCTCATCCCCTGGCCTCCCACCTACTGCGTTCAAATAGAGTTATTTGGAGGATGTTCTCTGCGCCTCTCCAGGTCTACATCGAATGTTTCTACCACCTGCTCTCTCTTCTGCCCGAGGCTGTGTTGCTTACTCCTTCCAGAGTCAGAGTTTATACTGCATTTGGGGATGTATCTTTTTTTGTTGTTTTTGTTTTTTGTTTTGTAGAAAATAAATATATCTGGGGTCACTTGGGCAGTATAGGTGTCTGGGCTCAGTTTATATGTCATGGGTTTCTCTGGTCTCTGTCCGCTGGATTTGGGGTGGAGGGTGGGCAGGAGGAAGCCAAGCCCGATTGGCCGGGTTTGGAACGGCACTTCCATGTCAGTCGCCACCGCCTTTGTTCATTTGGAATCTACCAAGGTTTTCCAGCTTCACCCAGGCCGACCAGAGCTCAAGTTCCTGTCTGCAGCTCCTGCCTATAGGGCTGCAGAGGACCAGCCTGGCTCGGCCAGCACGGTGCCATCGTCGTCCCCCCCCATCGCATGTGTGTGGGGTCTGCTTGAGGGTTTGTAGATCAGCTGCTCTGGAGTTGGGAAGTGTCCATGGCAGCCACAGAGGCAGGCATTCTTCTGCATCATCCAGGGTTGTTGGTTTAGGGTTTTCTTTTTTCCTTTTTTGTTTTTCTTCATTTCATTGGAGGATCTCCAATGGGCTGACCAGTTCCAGTCACCAGCAGTTCAACAAGAACTGTGAAACTGGACCCTGACCACTCTCCACCCTCCCCCCCGGTTAACATTTCTATCAGCCTGTCCCTTTCCAGTGCTAGTTTTGCGGGGGCTCTGAGAAGGCAGCTCTAGACTCCGGCAGGGAACACCCATTTTTTCAGTGATTGTTTTGAGCTTTTGGCTCAGAAATCAGGTTCTTATTTTTCATCTGGATTCTTGTTCTGTTTTCTGAGCAGCAGGAGGTAGGGACCATTTTGATGTCAGACTTTGGGTAGCTGGACATGTCCTTGATACCGGTGGCTGTTCATAACTTTTGAGCCAGAGTGAAATGAGAGGGCAGACTTCTGGCTGCCACTCTAAATGGAGTCCGAGGAAGCTGCCCTCTCCCCAGGGATGCGCTCATAGAGCCCTGTGGAGCACAGTCACAGGGGGCCCCTGGCAGGGATGAGGGAGAGCAGGGCTGTCAGCTGAGTCCCTGCCAGTGGCTGAGCAAGCGATGATTTCAAAAATTCAAGGTCCCCAGGTGGCAGCATTTTGTGTTCTGACCTGTTTGTGTTATAGAGTGTTTTTTTCTCTTTGGAATTCTGTGTTAATAAGATGAGATGATTACTTTTTAATTAAAATGAAAAAGTAAAACCTGTTGTTGTCTTTTTGGGGCATTCTGTCTGCAGGGGCATTCCCCCCCAAGGTCAGAAGGTGAGGGTCCCTGATGGAGCCCTGACTGCTTTCGGCCCGCCGTGAGGTCTGCCCCCTCTTGTTGTCGTCCTGTGGTCAGGCCTGAAGACCTGACCCTCGGCTCTCCTCATGCACCCCACCTACTTAGCAGCTTTAGTAACAGTCCAGAGCTAAAGCCTCCTGGCTAATGACGATGCTGTGTTAAACATCCTTGTTTGTGGGGGACCTTCAGTGTGGCAGCAGTCTGGTCCTCTTAACTCTAGGAAAGGAAAGCTACCCTGAAGAGGCCATTGCTGGCCAGTGGAGTGGGGCACTCTCCTGTTTGATTTCGTCTCAGTTGCCACCCTCTATTCTGCCCATTATGTGAGGAGTTGGCAGAACCATAGAGTCACAGAAGCTGTGGGAGCCTGGAAGAGCATTTAATAGCCAGCCCCACCAGGAAACCCTGGGGCAGGTGTGCTGAAGTGACTGGCCCAAGGCCTCCGGTGGGCTGGGGGTAGCGCTGAGCCTGACCTGCTAAGTGCTGTCCAGGACAGGGCCCCACAGCTGTCAGAACACGAACCAGGCCACCAGACCTGGAGGACCAGCCAGCCGCCCTACTGCCAGTGACAGGGTTTGGTGAGGAGGCTAGGCTCCTGAAGAGCCACTCACCCCTCTTCCCACATACTCACCCTTCCCCCTCGGGTGTCCAAACAGCACATCTCAGGCCGTGAAGGGTATAATAAAATTATTTTTATTGCATTTTGTGCAGACAGGAGTCTAAAAAATACAGTAAAAGCTGTAAAGCATTAAATGGGAGCATTCAACAATAAAGGAAAGAACCAACGCGCTCCTTTCCATATTGGCACGAAGAACACAAGATCAATACTGAGGCAGAATGCGGAATACTGAAACACACTGAAAATTAAAGTCAGGCCTAATAATAGTAATAAATAATCTTGATTTGGTTTGCAACCTCTCCTATTTACAAGGGTGTTCAACTTCATTGCATTGCCCTGCACACAGATCGTCTAAAACAAAAGCGACGCTAGTTAGCACTACAAGTCTATTGAAATATTGCACTCGGAATTAAAGTCACTTGAATGGACATGAGACATCTAGCTACAGTGATTATGAAGATAACTTAGTGACTTAGGATGACATTCATAACAAATATTGCACATGGAGCACAGAAAACTTGGGTTTTGTTGTGGGATGTTTGTCTTCATCAATGGAAACTTCGCTCTTGCCAACCAGACATTCTGGGCCCAGATAGTGCAACTTTGGTTCCCTAATTGGTGTTGATACAGCCCCCTTCCCCTTCTGCCCAACCTACCACTTCAGCCTAGCATGTTCTGCCCACCAGAAGGCTAGGCCCAGCTGTGGTTCTCAGAGGGTGGTCTTTAGGAAGAGGTAGGGGGGTGTGGGAGGGTCAGGTGGGGGGTGGCTGGTGTCCTAATACCTCCAACTTTCTGAAGAGTCTATCTATCTGGCCCCCTCATCAAATCTCAGAGGGCTTGGCCTAACAGGCAGATATCCAGACCTGCCTCCAGCCACACCTGACCCAGTCTATAGATGGCAACAGCTCCAGCTCCCTGCCTTGGGCTCAAAGGAAAGGAGGTGGTGAGGTCCGGAGTACCCAGTACCCCCAGCTCTGGGAGGTGGACAGGATGTCTAACTAGGTGCAAATGTCAGGGCCCTGGGGCTGGAGGTACTGAACCCAGTTTCAGAAGGCGCTGGAACGAGCATGCGGTGCCTGTCCCCCTTAGTAACGTGCCCTGGGGGAAGGGAACCCGCCCAATGCGCCTTCTCTAGGGATAGAGGGCGCCTCTGACCGGGCTGCTTGGAGCAAAAGCGCCAAGGATTGGAGTTGGAGAAGCCAAAGATCTTGGGTCCTAGTTGGAGGAGGGCAGAGAGACGCTAAGAACAAAAGCACGTGGCGACTCCAGCCCAGGTGCCTGGGAGACGCAGCTAGAGGCCGCTGCTAGGCAGCGAGGCCGGGTCCCGGGACGCGGAGAAGGCGGCTGGGTCCCGGCGGCCGGAGCCGCCAGCTGCCGGATGGGGACAGGAGAGAGAACATCAGGGGCAGAGCTGGAGCCTCCCCGGTGGGTATGGCCCCTAAACCCGAATCGCCCCCCTCCTCCCTCGCCTGTCCCAGGGATGCAACTCCGGGGAGGGGACGCCCTCCAGCTCCCCAGTTTCAGTCTTTGGCGACAAGCCATGGGATAGGGGGAGCAGGCGACAAGCCGACGAGGAGAGACGCAGGCTCCCCCTGCGAAGGCACGGGGGCGGGGCTTCCTCGACCTCTCCCCACCCCCGAGGAGCCCCTCCCCTGCCCTAGCGCCTGCTCGCCGGGAGCCGAGAAGAGGCGGCGCGCTTCCCCGCAGCCGCCGGGAGGCGGATCCAGGAAAAGCCGGACACTGGTCTCACCCCATCTCCGAAAAGAACTCGCGGGAAGGGTCAGAAGCGCAGGGGCGCGCGGGAAGGGCGAGGAGGCGAGAGCGGGGCGGGGGCGCTGAGGGGCCAGGACCACGACTCCCGCCTGGGCCGAAAGCACTTTTGCTCCCAAACTCGCGGACGTCCAGGAAAACCCAGCCTCCCGAGGCCGCCGCCTGCCCCGGGCGCCCCCAGCGGGAGAGCTCGACAGCGGCGAGCAGAGAAGTCCGTTGCGCTTCTAGTCACAGAAATATGGGGACGTTAAAAATACACGCGATGTCTCCTGTACACTATGTATAGGCGCGGCCCCGCGCGGAGGGGCGGTGGATCCGGCCGAGCGCGGCCTCCCCAACCGCGCGCCCTCCAGCCGCCGGGAGCCGGGCCCGCGCCGGGGCGCTGAGGAGGACCGGGCGGGGCGGGGGAGAGGACCGGGCCGCGAGGCCCGCGGGGGCTCCTCACGGCCCCGCGCCTCCGCTCTCCGCGCCTCCCCAGCCTTATTGCAGGGTCTCCTCCCACGCGGCGAGGCCGAGCCCGCGGAGCGACGCGCCAACGGGGCGCTCGGGCTCCGGTCTCCGCGCGGGGCGGTCCTCTCCGAGTCAGCCCCGAGCGGCGTGGCCTCCGGGCTTCAGGCAGCGGGGAAAGGGGCCAGGGCGCGGGCACAGGGTCTGTATGTAAACGGTGACAGCGGCGGGGGGCGCGGCGAGGGCTCCGGGGCCGCCGGCCGGGCGCGCTCGGGCCCGGGTGGCAGGTCCTGGCTCTCAGGAGTAGATGGTGATGACCTCGCGGCCGCCGCCGCGGACCAGCATCACCCGGTCCAGGTGCTCGGTGAGGACCTCGAGGAACTCCATGTCTGAACGCGCGTCAAGGAGAGGGACCGTCCCCTTCCCCTCCACACACACCAACCCCCCCCCCCCATGGAATGGGGGTTGCGATCGGCTCCAGGGAATCCTGGGCCCGCGTCCGGGTCCGAGGTAACTGAAGCAGGAACGGGCTCAGCTCTTCCATCCCAGGGCTAGGACCCGGGCCCCCTGACGTCCGCCTCGATCCCCCACCCTCCACTTTAGGTCCAGGATACAGTTTTCGTCACCGTTGCGGTTGCGCGGAGGTCCAGGCATGTTGAGCAAAACCAGCTTGGCATCCCGGGATTTCTTCACGATGACCTCGTTCAGCCGCACGGCCGTGTGCATACGCCGCACGTTGGACTGGTTCCTGGGGGGGGGGGGGGCAGAGGGGAGGAGGGCGTATAAGCAGGAACCGGGAGAGCTGGACCCAGTACCCTCCCAGTCCCAGGCGCACTGGGCCCGGTCAACCCCAGGCCTCCCGAGACTGGGCCATTCAGAGACCCCAAAGGTCAGGACCACGAACTGAGGGTTCATGATAAAGTGAGGAGAGCAGGGACCCTGGCCAACCCAGAAGAGAGAATAAAAAAAATCCTGAAACACTTACAAATTCTCCCACTCCCTTCAGGAAACAAGAGAAGCAAAGAAGAACAAGAGAGGGGTCAGAAGAAGGAGAGACTGACGACTTGGGTCACCATCACCCCCTACCGCCCCCCCCCGCAGTGCATACTGGTCCCTTCCTCCCAGCCACACCCCTTTCACTTTTTCACTGCCTACACCTGGGAGTGCTGACCCTCAGCAATTAGCCCAACACCCCAGTTCTCAGATGGGAAAACCCAGACAAGATTTGGGCTGGGTCTTGGACCAGGACCTCCTCTGCTCCTTTGCTCTGTCATGGGGAGCAAAGACCCCGTAGGCTCACCCCAGCCCCCAACCCCCAGCCCCCAGGTCCCTACGGCTTCATGCTGAAGAAGTCCTTGATGCCCTCGGAGGAGACGGGACTGGGGCCCTTATTCTTCTCTGCCACCGACTTGTCCTTGGTCCAGGTGAGATGCACCTTCTCAGGATCTGCCTCGCCCTCCCCCTCGGGCTCCTCCCCCGGGGATGGAGAGCTGCTGGGGCAGCTGGGAGCGCTCTGGTCATGGATCAGCTGCACCTGAGAGATGAAGGGGCAGCACGTGACTCCTTTAGAGGCCAAAGGTTCTGCCCCCACCGGCTGGGGCCAAACCACCCCAGCTGCACACCTCCTCCTCTGGCTTCTCCTCACTGTCACCAGCTGTCTCTTCTGGGACGTTGAGGCGGAGCCGAGTGTTGGCTGGATTCTTTCTCCGGATTGAGCCACGAGACTCATCTGTGATACTCTGGATCTAGGGAGTGACACAGGTTAGGACCAGCTCTGCTGTCACTCATCACCCATGCCCTGCAAAGAGCTATGGCCAGAGCGGATGCTCTGTCACAGACGCACGCTTTTAGAAACTGTACCAGCTGTTAGAATATTGCAGTGTTTCTATACCAAATACCCCGCTCACCTGGCCACTCCAACTCATCTCCAGAACCCCTGATCTCCCCACCCTCCAGCAACCAAAGGGTTAACACTTGGCCCCTGCAGGGCTCTATCTTAGCATATGGCCCAGGGCCAGTTCTGAGTGGCCAATGCACTTGCCATTTCTTACTTTTTTTACTATCACCCCTGGACAACATTCCTGGAGTGTTCATCCTTCTCAGCTCCAAAAGGTACCCATCACCCATTCCCCTGAGGATCCATTAACTCCAATCTGAGAAATACAATATCCATACCCGGGAGACCCCCTCAACCATGGTCTGTCACCCTCACCTACAGGATCTGCCACCCACTCCACAGGCACCCTTTCACCTGCCCCCAAGAGCTCTTCAGTCCCCAGTCCCAGAGTACCATCATTCATTTCCCTGAGGACTCTACTCCCTGAGGTGGGGCTTTCATCCCAACTCCCGGGGACTAGTGGTCCCACCTTACCCACACCTGGACGATCTGATACCCATACCCCATGGGAAGCTCATCATCATTGTCCCCAAGAACTCCCCAACCACATCTTAGGAGGTGTGCCCCCAACTCCCACCATTAGCTACATCCCTAAATATCTGTCTGTTACCCACTCTGGCAGGGTCTATCACAAGATCCCTTGTGCCCCCGACTCTCGCAGCCCACGCCCCTGAGGAATCATCATCCACACGTATTTAGCTTCCACTGTTCTCCATTGGGCCCCAGAAGTCACATACAGAGGGGGGAATCTGTCACCCAGGCCAAAGCCCTTGGCATCGTGGCTGGCAGGCTTGGTAGGTGCAGCTGCAATGTGCCCCTGCTGCTAGGAAGCCCAGTGCTGGGAGGTGGGCTTGAGGGGGAGAAGGGTGGTGAATAACGCTCTAGGGTGAAGGCCGTGCCAGTGGCCAGGAGTGTGAGCACTGGGCCCTCCTTACTGTGCAGACCCAGAGCAGGCAGCAGCTTGAGGCTCTCAGAGCCCAGCCAGGACAACCTCACCTCCCGCTCGCGCTCATTCTTGGTTAAATGCATCTGTTTGAGGATCTGGGAACGCTGTTCCATCACCAGTGTCTTCTCGTAGGTGTAAGCCGAGATGTCACTCTCGTGCTGTGGGTGGGCAGGGACAGGGGCAGAATGACGGGGGGCAAGGGAGGAAAGCATGAGTTCAGGGGCAAGGCCATGGGAAGGGAGGCAGACCCCCTTCCTTCTGCCAGCCTTGGGTTTCTCTATCTAATGACCTAGTTTAACCAATAGCTGTGGGAGGCAAGGACGAAGCAGAGGGCAATGCTCCTTGAAGGCAATGCAGCTCATTCGCTCCTCAGCCCAACGCAGGACCAGGCGTATGAATGGGTGAATTAATGAATGAGTAGATTAATTAATTACCTGAGTGAATAGAGAAGGGGAAGAAATTTTATAAAGGAACAGTGATGAATGAGTACGTACATGGATGAATGGGGGGTTGAGTGAATGAATACATTAATGAATACACAGAGGGATGGGTAGATGGATAAATAAACCGAGGGAAAGGATGGATGAGAAGCTCTGTAGTATCATCTCAAGCCACGTGGACTCTGAAGCCAGCTTGCCGGAGTTTGAATCCTGGCTCTGCCACTTAGTTGTACTGTTGGGCAAATTACTTAACCTTTCTGTGCCTCGACTTCCTAATCTGTAAAATGAAAATGCTGATGGTTGTACCTATTTCATTGGTTGCTGTGAGAATTAATATGTATAAAGTGCATGAGACAGTGCCTCACATATAATGACATGGCTATTCTTATAAAGGAGAGAGGGAGGGATGGACAGATGGATGGTGGGTAGACTGACTCTTGGGTGACTATGTGAGAGGCTAAGAGGTGGATAAGGTGCGGAGGGGATCCACCATCATAAACTGATATTTGGGGGGTTGCCCTATTGATGCTGGGGCCAAGAGGAAAAAGGGCTAGGTAGGACCCCAAAACCTCAGAGGTGTCTCCTGGGCCCCTGGGCACTCACCATCTCCACCACCTCGACCTCCGCGGTGATACGTAAGTGGTACAGAAAGGTAGTCAGGTCCTTCTTCATCTGGATGCTATTGTCGTCCATCTGGGCCACCGTGAAGATACGCATCTTGCACTTCCGCCAGACCTGGAGGAGTGAAAGGGGACCCAGAAAGGTCCAGCCCAGATGCCGTGCAGAGACCCAGATCCAGAACCTAGAGAGAACCCTGTCCCTCGCCCTTCCCGCCCACTTTCCCACGCCTACACACAGACCCGAAATCCTCTATCTCAGCGGCCACTCCCTACAAAACCTCCCCTGCTTAGGTAAGGGTCCCCCATTAAAGCATCCCTTGCTTGGGTTAAGCATTGCTCTCCTTTACAATGTAAGGTGTTGCAAGAGGAGACACAATCAGTTTCCAGCATCTCAGGATAAGGGGGGTGATCAGCCCCCTTTCCCCTGAGCTCTGGGGGAGGCAGGCCCTGGGCAGAGCCCGTGAGCCATGCCCGCCCTCACCTTGTGGTGCCGCAGCAGGAAGGGCAACAGCATCAGCATGCCACCATCATGAACGATCCACCAGACGTCGATGCTGCCCTCAGAGAAGCGCTCAGGGTTCCCAGGGAACATGGAAACGTTCTTGGTGACCAGCAGGGCCAGGTGACCAGCTGTGGTTTCCCGGACCAGCTCTGGGCAAGGCCAAGAAGAAAGCCAGATGGGAACAGAGTGACCCTGGTCCCTTTCCCGCACCATGCACCTGCCACGGAGGCTCCCGGCACCCAGTGCCCCGCCCCACGCCCACCCCCCCCCACCCCGGCCTTGGATGGAGTCATCAGAAAACCAGCATCCTTGTGGGTCTCATCATTTAATTGTTGTTTGGATTTGGGAAAGCCTCTCAACCACACTGGGCCTCAGTTTCCCCACCTGTTGAGTGGCAACAACACCACCTGCCCTTCCTGACTATTAGGAACTCTCCTGTGCATGGCCTCGTTTATCCTCCCAACTGCCAACTACGCCCCACTTATAAAGGACACAGGATAGCCTGGAGTCACCAGGGCAGCCTCTAGGTTTGCCAGCTGTGTGACCTGGAGCAAACACCTCGATCTCTCTGTGCCTCCGTTTCACACCAATAAAGTGGAGGAGACAGGTAATAGCCCTCACGGGACTGCTGACAGAATGAGAGGCTTAGAGTCTGGCACACAGAACATGGTCTATAAATGTTAGTTATTATATTACTACCAAGGAATCCAGTGCTCAGAGAGGGTGAGTCACTTGTGAACCATCATCACACAGCGAGGCAGGGCCAGAGGCGAGATTTAGACCCGGGCCTCTCTGACTTCACCGCGGTAGCTCTTTCCACTGCCCTCCACTGACTCCCTCCCAGGGCCGAGCCAGCTCTGCAGGGCCCAAGACTATCTCCTTCACACCTGAGTCCCCGGCACCTGGCACAGCGTCTGGCACGTGGCCAGCTCCAAACACCAACACCTGCGGATGCAGAATCCGCACCTGTCACGTCTGGGAAAGAGTGCCCGGGCCCAAGAAGGAGAACCTGCCGCCCATCACTGCCCACACTGTGTTACCAATGAAGTTTCTCCACGTCTGATGATCTTCCTTCTGCCGCCAGTTGCGGGGCCAGCCGACCAGCACGGTGTTGTGCTGCAGGCCCCCGAGGCCCCCAGACTGAATCAGGTGTGACACACCGTCACGCAGATTGGAGGAAATCACCACCTGGCAGAAGCCCTTCACTTTCTCTGCCTCCATCAGGCGCCGGATGGACTGGGGAAGGGGGTGGAGTGGTAGCATGTCAAACGAGGATGAGCCTCAGGCCCCCCTGGCCCTGCATGGCCCCTCGTGGCCTCCCTTCCTCCTGTCTCTCCCCTCCATCATCCCCATCTTCCTGAAGCTCAGCTCCGATCATGTCAGCCCCAGGCGGCAGAACTGTGCATGGTTCCCCATCACCTGTGGCCCCCATTCCTTGCTGATCCGTCATGACCTTACCCTGCACTTGCCCCCACCCTGCCATCGCTCACAGTCCCCCTGCAAGCCCTCCAGCACCGCCCAGCCACCTCCCCCACTGTCCATTCCACCCTGCCTGAAACCACTCCCCCACCCAGACCTGAATGGAACTGGGCTCCCCTGCATGCCCAGATGATTTGCTTTGAACGACTTTTAAAAAATTAGCATGAATGATAAGCATTTTAAATGCACATGCCACCCACACTATGAGGGTAGTGTTCTTCTTACTCTCATTTTATAAATGAGGAAATTGAGGCTCAGAGGAATTAAGACTTGCTTAAGGCCACCCAGCTAATGGATATCATTGTAGGGGCTCAACTCCAGGGCTCTGACTCTATCCCACACACTCTGGACCACTACCCTGATGTCAAACAGAGCAGGGCTTCAACTCCTACCTCTGCCGCCTCCTAGCTGTGGGATCTTGGGCAATCACCTAAACTCTACGAGCCTCAGTTTTCAAATCTGTCAAATGGGGATCATGACAGCTACCTCATGTAGCAACAGGAAGAATGACAAGACATGATGTGGGTAAGGTAGAATGCTGCCTGACAGATTGTAAACACTCAACACATTCTATTACTCTGATATGAACTCTAGTGAAGCACCTATCAACTGCAGACAGGTTTGAGAGCCTTCTGGGTATGTTCCATCTTCCCATTAGCCTGGAAGCACCTTGAGGGCTGGGATTTGGTCTCACAAATGCCCCCATCTCCCCATGCCTGGTACGCAGCACATTCTCAGCCACTGCATGTTGAAGGAAGCTGACCAACGGAAGCCTCCAGCTCTGGGCCTCGACAGATTGGTGTGAACGGCCCAGTGAGGCAGAAACAGCAACTGTCACAAGCCATTAGGGGTGCCCCTCCCCACCTCTCCTCACCTCCCTCCGGCCCCCTTTCCTTTCTCCACAACTAGTCACAGCCCCAAAGGGAGAGAGGCCTGGATCGAAGACAGAACCCACTTCCTCTGCTACCCACCAGGTTCCAGAAACCTGTTAGTGCTCCATCCTGCACAAGCCTCCCGCCCCTGCCCGCACTGGCTCTGGACTCTGCTCTGAGAGTATGGACCATGGATGCGGACAGCAGCAGGGGACCCAGAGCCAGGGACCCAGGCTCAAATCCTGACTGTGCTTCCAGCCAGCTTTGTGGCTGTCAGCAAGCTGCCTTCCCTCTCTGGGCCTGTTTCCTCCTGTGCTCACACTGCCAACTCTGCGTGGCGTGGGGATCGAGAGAATCACGGATGTGATAACACGCTGAAAGATGTATACTTGGGCAGGGAGAAGTCTGGAGTAGGAGTCAAGCGGTCCTCATTTGAGTCTCTGTTTTCTGTCCTTAGACAAATGCTCTGACTTCTCTAGGCCTCAGTTTCCTTATCCATCAAATGGGCACTTTGGGCTCTGATGGTCTTTGGTTCTGAGAGCTGGATTCTAAGGAACTCACTCTCTGAGCCCTTAGATTCCTGTTCTAAGGAAGATGACAGAAAAGCCTGAGCCCCCTTTGATCCCAAGGGTGGGAGGGAGGGCAAGTGTAAAGGGACAAGGGCTGTCTTCCTGAGTGCCCTGCCCTCCCCTCTCCCCACCAGGGCCTCGACTCACTCACCTCCTCTGCCCGCTGGGCCTGAGGATGGTTGTCCAGAAAGGTGCCCTCCAGGACAGAGCCCACAATGGTCAGGCCCTTCCCCGCCTTGAGCTGGGAGGTCAGTGAGAGAAGCTGTGGGTGTACCACGTTCTGGTCTTGGTCCACGCGCACCAGCACCAGCAGCTGTGGCCTGCAGAGGATGCAAGGTGGGCCATACAATACCCACCCAACCTCCACCCACTGTACACCACACACCCACGCACCATAAGCCAGTGAGTTTACTAGGCATCCGTCCTCTATACCCCCATTCCCTACCCGTCCACCTAAACATCCATCCACCCATCCATTTCCTTAAACATCAACCCATCCAACCAGCTCCCACACAGCCACCCATCCACCCACCCACCCACTCATCTCTCATCCACCTCACTTATCCAACCACCCACCCATCCATTTTATCCGTCAGTCACCCACTCGTATCCATACTAATTTACCTATACATGCATTAGTCACCTAATTACCTGACATCCACCTGCCACCGTCCGTTCACACATTCATCTGTCAGCAGTCACCCTCCGATACATATATACACTTGGCCATCGACCCAACTATTTATCCATTCATTTCCTTTTTCATTTGGCTACCCCATCCATCCCACTGCCCAACAGTTTAAGAGCATTCTCTAAGCACTCAGGGCTAGACACTGTGCCAAGCATTGAAGAATTCACAGACAAATAAGGCAAAGCCCTGGTCTCTGGAAGCCCCAGTTTAGTAGACATCAGCAAGTGCAGGCCAACAATGTCCTAGGCATAGTTCAGAGTTCAGGCCTTCCTCTTGGCCAAGTGACTTGCGGGAAATGAGTGAGGGCCGGGCCCACATAACCGTCAGCTAGAAAGCACCCTGGGTTGAAAGGCGGGAGGTAAAAATTCTGCTTCCAGTTCTGCCTTCCATGACCTCTGAGACCCTCTCTGGCCCCTGACTTCCACCCAAATAAAGTGTAGAGATTGTTCTGAATCTCGAGATTTCTAGGAGCCCCCATAACTCCCCAGGTGAATGCAGCCACCTCCCCCAGAGTAAATGCTACACGATATTACATTCGTCTGTCTCTGTGTGGGCCTTCTCTGTGGAACTGTTAGCTCATTAGGTCCCCACAGGCTGGAAGGGGGCCTGGCACATGGCACATACCCTGCATTCATACATTTTCTAAACACACGATGGAATGAACAGAGGGATGAAGAGAGGGTAGCTCAGCCCGGCCCGGGGGCTGTAGGTGGGAAAAGTCAGATGAGGCTCGGCTAAGAAGGGGAGGTGAAGGGCAGCCCATTGTGGCGGGGGACAGCATACACCCAGCAAAGCTGGTGAGGAAGGTCAGACCCTGCTCCCTTCCCCTGGGCCCCTCCACATGCGCCTGGCCACTTACCTCCAGTTCTTGGTATGTGGGGGCCCTTCCTCCAGGCGTAAGAGGGCGTAGCGTGCTGCACTGAGGGACAGGCCTCGGATCCCGTCGCCCCACTCCTTCTCAGCCCTGGAGGCCCGAGGGAATCAACCAGGGGTGTCAGAAAGACCCATGCACACTGAAGTGGCCGCCCCAGGGCAGAAAATGTGCAGCCATTCTGTCACCTCCTTTTCTCAAAGCTTCAGCCCCTCCCTCAGCTCCTGTCCTCTATCCTGCAATCCCACACCTATCACCCCTTTCCCTCCCCCACTCTTACCTCATCGCCACCCCCTCCCATCCCTTAGCCTCTCCCAGCCCTCCCGCCCCCTGTGCTTACCCACGGTACTCGATATACTTGTAGATAAGGCCAGCAATGAGCATGGCCACCAGCGCATAATACCAGGAGCAGATAAACATGAGGGCCAGGCAGAGGCTCATGCCCAGGAAGGAGAGTGTCCTGGAGAATGGGAGGAAGACCCAGCCTCTGAGCCCTGGCAGGACTGTCACTGGTGCTGGGGTTCAGACAGCAAGAGTTAGATGGGGTAGGGCCTGGGCAAGCACTGGGAGGTCTAGGGGTGAGCAGGTCTGGGGGAGCTCACACCATCATCTCCATGAGCAGCACCATAGGGATATGGGACCTTCTGGATGAATGAGCAGCCACAGGCAGGGCACCACCCCAAGCCCCACCCAACTCTTTGTCTCAGTGCCTTCTTAGACCCTGCTAGACCACCCTGCCTGAGGGCTTCCAAGGCAGAGGTCTCTGGAGAGAGCTGTAGGCAAGATCTCCTGGTAAGATTGTGCCCCCAGGAAAAGGTGACTGGCAGAGCAGGAGCACTAAGATGGGAGTCAGGCAGCCCGGATTCTAGTCCAGGTATGCCATAGTCTTTCTGGGTGACTTGGGGCCAGTCCCTTCCCCTCTTTGAGCCTGTTTCCTTTCTGTAGAACAAGTATGGTCATTCCTGCCCTGTCGGCCCCACAGGCCAACTGTGAAGCTGAAGGGCCATAAAGTGAAATGATCAGAGCCCCAGGCTCCATGTAATAAGCATCTTCTGGTCACTAAGCCCTGTAACACTCACAAGAGCCCCATGAAGTCAGGGCAGTTGTCACCACCATTTCGTAGCTGAGGAAACCTGATGTTTCCTCTTCTAGTCTGTAAGATGTTGAGCATGATGCACAGGGGAGGGATCACAGCCAAGACTGTAGATGGCCATGTTATATTACTATCTGTGATTAGAAGGAGACCCTCTCCAGAACCTTTCTCATGCTAGTCAGGCTACAAAAACTGAAGAAATGGGCTCTCTATTTAAGTTTGGGATTCTTAGACCTCAGGGAAGGGCTAGGGTGAGGTGGGGGTTGAGGTGGAGACGAGAGGGTGGTTCCATCAGGAAGGGAAGGGGACAGGGCACCCACCAGTGGTAATAGCGAAAGCGTGGCCTCCAGTTGGGTGTCCTCAGCAGCGTCTGCACTGCACAGGCCAGGTTCACAAACATGTAGCACATCAGGAAGAACCTAGAACACAGAAAAGCCCCAGGAGAGACAGAGATGCAAAGGGAGGCAGAAAGAGAAAGAGAAACATAAAGAAAGAAAGGGGGAAAGAGGATAAGAAATTGGAGAGGTGGTCAGATCAGATCACTTTCTGGTGCTTAGGAAGGGATTCAAAGGCCAAATCCCCTTACAACACACCCTGGCACATGTGGGAATGAATCTCCATATAACAAAAGACGGACCATTAAACAACTGGGTGGGCTACCCAGGGTCACAACTGGAGGATCCATGTAGAGAGACACCCCCTTCCCCCAGAGCTGATGGGGAGGGCAAGAGGCCAGCACGCACATAGAGAGGATGGGGGCGACCTCGTCGAGGGATGCAATGAGGATGCCGATCTCGCAGATGCAGGCAGTCAGGAGCAAGGCCCACGTTGGCTCTCCATTTGCTTTGCCATGGCCAAAGACCTAGGGACACAGCAACCATCATAGAGGTCTGAGATCTTAGAGACTTCTTGTCTCTCTTCTCCAGTCTTGGGGACTAGTGCAATAAAGGCAGGACTCCCCTAACCAGTGAGGAAGTAGGGAGAGGATGCTGTATTCCTCACCCTTTAGGGGTACCCAAGGGGATGCCAGGCTTTGGCTGTGTCTCTCCCACTCTGTCATTGGTACCTCAGGGCAATGAAGTTCAAATGATCCCTTAAGGGGAAAAGAAGCACCTGGGGACAGATGGAGAAGAGCTACAGGGGCCAGCAAATGGCCATGACTGTGTGCTCCATAAATCTTTTTTTTTTTTAAGCACCATGGAGAGAGCCACACTTTTCTTGCCCTTTGGCTGCCTCCCTACCTGATCACTCAGCCAAAGGAGGGCCATTTACTTCTCCCCTAAGAGCAGACAGCTCTGCCCAAAGAGATGGCACTGCCATGGGCCAAATCCCAAATAAGGCACATCCATTCTTCTTAGTGGTAGTGCAGAACGGAAGGGCCCCAGGGGTCCTTGGCTCACTGGGTGGTCTCTCTGGGCAGTGGCTTGGCTGGCTGGTGTAGTGGTTGGGCTGCTCTTCCCACACTCCATCCCCCACTGACCTGCAGGAAGGGCACTATGCCATCCCGGGAGATGGCCTGCAGCAGGCGTGGGGCCCCCGTGAGGCTCTGCAGCCCAGCCCCACAGGTGGAGAAGAAGGATCCGATGACAATGACCCAGGGGGACGGCCAGGCCAGTGTGCCCACCACCAGATTGCCATTCACAGCTTCACCAAACCTGGAATGAAGGGACAGGCGATGCTGGGTGAGCAATGCTGCCGCAATTTCCAAGGCACGTCTCCCACACTGACCTCGGGACCAGCTGTATGCCCACTGCGGGACTAGGCTCTAAGGGAGCAAGGGGGGAGAAAAAGCTCCTAATGCCCTGGGCACTTTCTGTCTGTGTGACCTTGGGCAACTCATTTAACCTCTCCTTGCCTCAACTTTCTCACCTGTAGAACAGGATCATTATAAACCCATCTCATGTGATTGGTGACAAGACAAAAGGAGATAACACAGGTAAAATGCTCAGCACCATGCCTGGAACCAGATCCTAAGAGTGATTATGGTAAATGGTCAATTGTGTAATATTATGTTAACCTGGTAAAATCTCTTAGCTTGTTAGAACCTGTGTCTCCATCTGAAAAATGGGGTCCTGACCTCATGGCGTGGTCATGGTCGTGTGGTGTGAGAATCAAAGAAAAGCATTTTCTAACAACGGCATTATCTTAAATTGAAAGATGCTGCCTTGGTCGGCAGAGCGAGCCCTGTGACTGGAGTGTGCAACCAGAGGTTATGCTCAAATGGGCCATTGCTGAAGGACTACAAGAATCAGATGAAGCGTTTTACTGGATGACCTGCTGAATCCCTTGCAATCCTGTAGGAGGTCTATGATTAAATGAAATAAGCAGAGATTAAGTTGCCCTCAAAAGTGAGTAAGTGTAATATATGCAAATTGTCCATTTGGCCAGGTCACTCCCCTGCTTAAAACCTGTCAGGGTGCCCCTGATTTTCTATAAAATAAAGCTCTAATGTCCTGCTACCAAAAACCAGGCTTCCAGGACTGGCTCCAGCCTCATGTCCCCATTCCCCACCTTACAGAAGCCAGGACAGCACCATGGAAACTGTCTTCTGTGACGAGACCTCCTACTTCACCCTGCTGGTGGTGCATGCCCACACCCTTCAAAAGTGTATGCTCCAGCAGCTCTGACTTGCTTATAGCTACAGGCACCCACGTGCACATGCACTCGTGCACACACACACACACACACACAGACAGCTGTTTCTCTCCTCTACCCTTGTTCATGTTGTTCCCACCACCTAAAATGCCCTTCCTACTCCTAGTCACCTAAGTAATCTCTAATCAACATAAATGAGAAGGATAAATATGAAAATGCGCGTGAGGCACTTCCAGCATCACCTCCTCCTCCCCAGCCCCCCGGGGACTGGATTGCAGTCTCCTGTGCACTACCAGAGCCCCCGTACTTTACTTTAGCCCACTCCTGATGCTCTGCATTCCGAGTCTGTTGTTGAGTATGGTTACCAGCCCCCAAGAGCTCCTTCAGGACAAAAAGCATGGGTTATTTATCTTTATTCCCCCCAGAACTCTGGACAGCGACCAACACATAGACATTTAGGAAATGTTAAATGGGTTAATAGATTTTAAAGAAGAAAAAAAAAAAAGGAAAAGAACATTTTCCCCAAAAAAAAAAAAAAGTGAGACACTATCCAAGCTTCTTGAGCAAGATAAAATATAATATAAAAAGGTGAATTTGCAAGCAATCCCCTGTGACCTCCCTCCCACAAGTCCCCTTGCACAGGCTCAGCACTCCCTGCTGGGTCTGTTTCCCAGAACTTGGCCCCCTATACCTACCACCCAGGACAGAATCAGCCCTGATTCCCTTACTTACTTGTCCCGCAGGACGACTCCTTCAATGCAGGCCCCAAACAGAACAACGGAGCTGATATCTGTAGCAGAGGATGAAGGAGAATCCCTAGGGTGACATTCCCCCCTTTCTCCTCCCAAGCTAGCTGGGTGAGGCAGCAGCGGAAGCTGCCCTCCCTCCAGGCCTCCCCGCCCAAGGTGGTCCCAGCCCAGCAGTGCAGGATACAGACAGCAGAAGTGGTGGCAATGGCCAGAATGGTGCCAGTGGGAATTGACTTCTGGGCATCCCGTAGGTCCCCAGAGCGGTTAGAACCAGCCATGATCCCTGTGAATAGAGAAGCAGCTAGGACAGGGTCCATAGGAGACCAGACAGAACAAGAAGGAAGGACGCCAGCCCTGGAGTCAGGAAGCCTGGGATCTAGTCCTGGCATACCAACTGGTGTGAGAACCTGACCATATTACTTGGCTTCTCCTGGCCTTAATTCCCTCATCTGTGCAATGGGAATCCAGATTGTTGGCTCCTGCCTATGTGATGAGATTGTAGGACGAAGAAATTCCCCACATCATCATTGACTCTCTACCCATCACTCCCAGGCAGAGTCCTCCCTCTCTGAGCTCCCCTTCACCTGTGACTGAGGGGAAGTAGATGCCAACCAGCAGGGTGAAGTAGGAGGTCATATCGCTGAAGACATAAGGATGGTCCATGTCGACAGGGGTGCCCTCTGCCAGGCCCACCGAGGGCATGCCACGCCTCTCCACAATCACCCCTTTGGTCAAGTAGGAGCTCCAGAGGTTCTCTGTGGGGAGAGACAGGATGCTCAAGAGAAAGACCAGAAGTCAGGGTACTAGAGCTCTAGGGCCAGGAGGTGGGGTGGGCAAAAAAGAAGGGTGAAGGTCAACCGCTTCTCACTCCCCTGGGGGCCTTGGTTCTATTTTATTTCCACTGACATTTCCTAAGCTCCTGCTTTGGGCCAGGCCATGTGCAGATCTAGTCCTTGCCCTCAAATAGTCCTGTCTAGTGGGGTAAAAAACATATAAAGACCTATCTCAGACTGATTCAATATGTCCCAAACTGATCTCAGCACCCAGCCACCTCAAATCAGCTCCTTTTTTGTATCCCTTATCTCACCAAATGGCACCACCATCAATTCAGACAACTTCACTTTGCCTTCAACTGCTGCCATCCCCCTCTCCATTTCAAAACCATCTCCAACTTCTGCCCACTATCCCTTCTAAATATTTCTCAGATATGCCCCTTCTCTCCTGTCCAGGGTTCCCTCACTTCTGCACTATTGACATTTTGGGCCAGATCATTCTTTGTTATGGAGGGCTGTCCTACAGCACTGTAGAATGTTTAGCAAAATCCTGGTTTCCATGCATTAGATGCCAGTAAAAAGCATCTAGTTGTGATAGCCAAAAATGTCTCCAGACATTGCTACATGTCTCCTGGGGGGCAAAACAACCGTGGGGGAGAACCACTGCTCCACTCCCACTGACATCACTCCATCACTCTAGGTTAGAAAACCATCATCTCTCACCTGGACTCAGCATTGGCCTCCTCCTGGACTCCCTGCCTCTGTTCTCCCTCCCTTTTACCTCATCAATATTAGCAGCCAGAATGAACCTTTAGAAATGATGAGCTGACCATGTCCATCCCTTATTTGAAACTCTTTGGTGGCTCCTCATTGCTCTCAGGACATGGTTCAAACACTTCAACATGGCTTCCAAGGCCTGCCACAATATGGCTTATACCAGCCTCTCCGACATCATTTATTGCCCCTCCTTCCTCTGTACTTTATGCACCAGTCACACCAAATTATTTGTGGTTGGAAGGACACAATATGCTCTTCTCTGTCTGCATGCTTTCAGGCAAGCTGTTCTTCTGCCTTAATTCCTTTATTCCCCTAGTATAACTCAAAATCTCTTATTTTTCCTTCAAAGTCCTCTTCAGATGAGTCTAGGAAGCCTTGTCTTGCCACCTTATACACATGACCACTCCCTCCCCTGTGAGGTCTCTGTTCATTGAATGCACATCTACTCATATCGTAATTTATTTGCTAATACATTTGTGTCTGCCATTAAAGTCTTTGAAGCCAAGGACTGTGACTTATTTATGTCGTATTCCTGGCACTTAGCACAGTGCTGGACACTAAGTAGATGCTTAGTGAATAGCCGTTAAACTGATGACTTTCTTTCCTACTAGGTGGTAAGATATTTGAAGGCTCCCTTTCATCTCTGTTCCTTCATGATGCCAAGGACAGGACATGGCCAGTGTAGGTGCTCAATTAAAACCAATTTCCTTTAAGTGAATCCCAAGGAGAGTTCCTTAATCCTGACCGTTTAACCCACAATCCCTGTAGTGTTCCCTGGACACTAGCCCTCTTCCCTCCCCCAGACCTTTGATGAGGCCACTGGCAGCGCCAGGGATGCCCTGGATCTCCGTGACATTGTTTCGGGTGAAGTACTCATCACAGGTGGCGTTGAGGAAACGGGAGGAACAGAAAAGGCCCCAGAGCCGTGTGGTCACCGTCTCATTTCCTTCCCAAGCCAGCTTGGCACAGACATCAAAGCCATGGCGAGACAGTGTGCGGTTCCCCAGGAGGCAGATCCTAGGGAGAGAAACAAGGGAGGAAGATGGGGGAGGGACATAACCTTGCCTTGGCTTCACAATAGAACCACCGGGGGAGCTCTAAAAAACACAGATCCCAGGGCCCCATATCCAGAGATTCTGATGTAATTGGGATGGAGCCCAGAATGGGTGTTTTTTCAAAGCTCCCCCAAGTGATTTTAGTATGCAGCCATCCCAAAGAAGCACCGTTTTAGTGCAACGCTATGTTTCAGCACCATGGACAGCAGTCTCTGTGCGTCATCCTGGCAGTGAGATGTAAGGGAGTTTGTCCTTAAGAAAGAGGCAGAACCCACAGAGATCTGTGCCCCTAGATCCTCTCTTCTATGACCTTTCCCATGATAGAGAAGGTGTCCAACTCTAATAAGTTGTCCTATTCCAGGAAATTGTCCCCACCCAGGAAATGCTTCCCTAACATAGAGAGTCATCCCTTCAGAAATCGTCCCACTTGGTTCTTCCTTCCTAAGTAAGTCCACCCCATCTGCAAGCAGTTTACCCTCACAGGGGAAACTCTGCCCACCTCCAGAACATATTACCCCACCCTGTAGAGATTCCCCCCAAACCAGGAGAGACTTTCCCTCCCAAGAAAGTTTGCTCTGAATCCACAATCACTCAGATTCTGAGAGATGAGGAGAGGGAGGTCGGCAGAGACTGACACTGCAGACCCTGAAACTGAGCCAGGGAGGAGGAGTACAACGCCTTAGGCTCAGAGCAACAGCACTTACGGGAAGTTGGGTGGGTCGAAGGCAGATTTGATGACCCCGGCATAGATGGCCAGGATGGAGAGGATGACACAACCCAGGAAGACAAGGGCAAACTTGTTGACATACTTGACGCCCACAAATACCACAGTGGCCATGCAAGTGAGCACACAGGTGCCATACACACGCATATTGTTCAACATAGCTGCTGCCTCCCCACTGGCATCTTCTGCCTTAAAAATGGCCATAGCTGGGAAGAGGTAAGCCTGTGGAAAGGGGGCAAGGAGGTCAGGTGAGTGACACAGCAAGAACCAGCTAAGAATCACCCCCAAGGATATAACCCGAAGTGCAGGAAGCACTCTGGAAAAAAATATGCTCATCACAGCATATTTACAATAGTGTAAGACTGGAAATGACATCCACTGATAGGAGGAAATGGGATCATCTATATTCTTTTTGCACATATGTGTTTTCTAAAATTTCCATACCAAATATTAATATGTTTATATTCATAGAAAAGTTATTTTCACTTGTAAATGATATTTACAAAGGGAGTTTCTAGTTATTTAGGGAAACCTATAAAGTTCTATTTTACAAAGCAGAATACAGTATCCCATAGTAAAACAAACAAAAAAAAAATAGAAGGAAATACACCAAAACGTTAATGGTGATTTTCTTTGGGCAATTGTTATTTCCCTTTTTACATTTTTGATATTTTTTCAATTTTATGCAATGGGCAGAATTGCTTTTATAATAATTTTTAAGTTATTTAATTTTTTTAAGTCATGGAAGTCTACTATTATCTTCTCAGAATTTAGCTCCTTGGGTCATTTCTTTGCCATCCATTCTCCCTGTCCCCATAGTCCTCCCTTTCTGCCCCCAAACCAGAAGCTGCATCTTTTATTTCTAGTTCTCCAAGACAGTGTGGTAGAGCGGACAAGCACTGGCTTTGGGGTCGGAAAGGCACAGGTTCATATCCCTTCCACATGTTCCTTAAAATCCCTGAACTCTGCTTTCCTCATCTGTAAAAGGGGGACATTATCTAACCCATAGAACAGTTGTAAGGATAAACTAAAATGATAAATTGCAGGCCACGAAGCCTTGATAAGGTAGGGGCTTGGGAAATGTCAGCCCCACTTTCTATATACCAGGAAACCCTCCTCAGCTCCCATCTCCTCCTGGAGGGGCAGGAAGAGCCGAGACCCACATCCGCAGCCTCTCCTTCAAATACTGCCCAGCAACCTGACTTCTTCTCATCAGTCACTACTCCTAACAGGTCTCTTCATTCGGCCCCCTCACATCCTTCTTCTCTTTTGCAACCCACTGGTCATCAGCCCTGGACAATGAACAGCCACAGAGAAATCAGAACAGCCCCAGGCACACAGTAGGCAATCACAAGATGCAGCTATTGTGTGACATTGGTTTTATTATTTCTACCATGATTTTACTCTTATCGACCCACCTCTGCCACTTGGTAGCTGAGTGACCTTGAGCAAGTCATGTCACCTTTCTGAGCTTCTCATTTGTAAAATGGGCATAATAATACTTACTCCTCATGAGGATTCAAGATAATGACTGTAAAGCAACTGGAACTCTGCTGAGAGCACAGTGGGTGCCCAATGAACGACAGCTGCTCACGTTACGTAATTACTGTATCTTGTCTCCCCAACCAGACTGTGGATTCTTTAAAGACAGAACCACATCTGATTTCCCTTTGGCCTCACTGAGGGCTTGGACCTCTCCCTAGGAGGTGTCCAGGGAGCATTGGTTAACTGACTGACAGCCTGGAACCCCACACCTCCTCCTCAGCCCCTCTCACCAGCAGGATTTCGATGGTGCCCAGGATGTACATGGCCCCAGCAAAGGTAGTGCCCAGGTAGAAGCAAAGGCCCACGGCGCCCCCAAACTCCGGGCCCAGAGACCTGGAAATCATGTAGTAGGAGCCGCCCGCTGCAGAAAGAACCTGGTGTCAGCGAGAAGTTCAAGGGGAGCTGGCCTGCCATTGGGGGCAAGGAGGCTCAGGGACAGAGATGAGAAAGGGGTTGCTCTGGGCCTCATGCCTTACACGCTGCAGCCCTAGGACTGGTGGGAGACTCAGCCAGCCACTCTGAATGGATTTTGCTGCACTAATTACCATGTTGCTAATTACCCCTCTAAGGAGGTCATGGCTCAGAAAAATAGGATGACAGAGAGGAGGGTCTCAGGCAAAGGGAGATCTCACATTGCCCTGTTCAACCCCATAAACTGCTTCCCTCCTTTCCCCTTAATACCACTGTCCCCACCTACCCCACCAACATCACAGCCCAGCCCCCAGGTTCACAGTATTTTCTCTCTCGGTCCTGATGGCCCATAAAGCCTACGGCCCTATCCCTCCTTCCAACTATCCAGGCCCCCCTCCCGACCATCCAGGCCCCTTTCCCCTCCAAGAAGCCCCATCACATACCAGGTACAACACCATTGGTTGCAATTGCACTCATGGAGATGGCCGTGAGCATTGTCTGTGAGGAGAGAGATCATCAGAGTGGCAGCTAGGGCGGGGGCTGCATTGCCCTGGGTAAAGGCCAAACCTTATACCCCATAAACACCTGCCAAACCCACAAGTCCTTACTGAGCTTCTCCCTGGTCCTATTCCAACTTCTACTCCTGCCAAGTCCTTCTTGTCAAGAAAACCTCTTATTCACCATGCACATGGAAGAATCACAAGCTACTTGTGCTCATCAGAGAGCTCTGGAAATCCCAGCTTGGCCTCGGACCAGCTGTCTGACCTGGGACAAGTCATTTCACTTCTCTAAGCCTCAGTGTCTTTATCTATAAAATAGGTTTGCTGTGTTCCTGCCTAAATGCATACACTGAATCTGATCCTGAGCAGGTATGTGACAAACCCAGACCAAGGGACATTATACAAACTAACTGATCCATACTCTTCCAAAGTGTCAGTGTCATGCAAGACAAAGAAGGAGGAGCTATTCCAGATTAATGGAGGCTAAAATGAGCTCATAAATGAATATGAACGTGATCTTGAATTTTCTTCAGTTACCGAGGACATGACTGGGACAATTGGCAAAATCTGAATAAGGCTTACAGCTAAAACATGATTAAGGTGTCACTATTAAGACATCATTAAAGTCTCAGTGTTAGTTTCCTGGTTTTGATCATTGTGCTGCAGTTATGTAAGGGAATGTCCTCGTTTTTAGTAAACACATGCTGAAGGATTTAGGATAAAGGGGCATCATGTCTGCAACTTGCTCTCCAATTCAGGGGGGAAAAAAGGTATTTCCAGAGAGGATGGACTAAATACGACAATATGTTAACATTTGTTCTATTCTTGCAAATTTTCTGTATGTCTGAAATTATGTCAAAATAAAAGTTAAAAAGAAATAAAACAGGCGTACTAGCATCAGTCCCGGCTACCACACACGCAGAGGCGGCTCTAGGGTCATGTGTGAGGAAATGGAAACGTGACGAGAAGTAGGTGTTTCGTAAATATTTGATTTTTTTAGGGAGGATGGAAAAGATTCTGTTACAAAGCTGTTTGTGACACATACTCCCCATTTTTTGTGAGCCTGGGCCAACCAAAATGTTAACGACTGCGGTTTTCGAGGTGCATTTGGTTTCCTTCGGTACGCCTATCTTTTTCATCAATGAACCTGCATTACTTGTGTAATTATACACACACTCACTCACACACACACACACACACACAAACACAGATCCAGGTGAAACCTGGTTAGTGGCCATCAGGGACCAGCCTGCGAGAGGCAGGAAGGATCAGACAGACCTAATTTACTCTCAAAGATCATACGCAGTGGTTCCTATAAAAAGCTCAGGTCTCATGCTTCCCCTCCTCCCTGCCCCCACCCCAGGTCTCTGCTCTGCCCCAGCGGTCAGGGGGGTGGGGAGGGGGATGGTGTCACTCACACAGGAGCAGCAGATGAAGACCATGCAGAAGGCCTCCATGATGCCTGCAATGCCCACCACCCACGTGAGTCGCAGGAAGAGAATGACACCGAAGATGTTCTGCAGGCACGGGAGGTACACGCCCATGAAGGTGCCCATGCGTGGGGCCTGCCGAGGAGGCCAGAGTCAGTTCCTGCAGCCCCTCATCACTGCGAACGCCCCAGGCCCACTCCTTCTCCCCGTTCTCCATCCCCCACTCTCCTCCTTTCTCCACCCCCATCCCTTCATCCCTCTTCCCTCTGGTGCTCACCCCGCTTCCCTCTCCCCTCTTCCTTCCATCTCTATCCCTCATCTCCCAACCCTTCCTCACCCTCAGCCCCTTACTCCTAAGCCCTCTTCCTCCATCATCCATCCACCTCTCCTTCCTCCCTCATTCTTTTTTCCCCAAAGTCCTCACCTGCACTGGCTTCTTTTTTCCACCCTCATTGTTTTCTGCCTCTTCATGCTCCCTACTTCCCTGGGGCAGGTTGGTGTAGTTGGCCAGGCCACTGAGCAGGGAGGACACCATGGGGCTGGTGTCCATCTCCTCCTGTGGAGGGAGGGTGGCAGTAGTAAGACACAAGGGCCTAGGGGAGGGACAGGCGAGCTCCTTGGTAGGAGGCCAAGAGAGATGGGGGCAAGGATGGCAAACCACTGGGGCTGGGATGCCATGGGGAAGGAGAAGGAATAGGCATGGAAAACAGGGAAAGAGGGTGGCGGGGTAAGGAGAGGGAGTAGCAGGGGTGACGGGAAGGAGAAGGTGGACCTGAGGAGGATGTGGAGAGAAGGACACCTCCTGAGGGAGGGAGGGATGGCAGTGAATGGGGAAATGAACTGGAGAGGGGGGCACACCCCAGCAACCCACCTCAAACAGGGCCATGTTCTTGCCATCGTACTCCCTTCCCTTCTCTGTGTCAGTGCTGTTGATGAAGGGGCTGCTCTCCTTGGGGTTGCCATCACCTGAGAAGGCAGAGGAGTCAGGGGTCTGGCACCAGCTGGTTGTCATCCCTCTGCTTGCACATCCAGCTGTGTGGCCACTGGAACTCTCTGAACCTCCATTTCCACATCAGAAAAAGCTGGAGCTAACAGTAGCCCGCTGCAGTGTTTTCGTTGGCAGCATGTATAAAGAGCCCAGTGCACTCCTTGGCACATACTACATTTTTAATGAACGTGTGAGTGCTTCCTTGCTCTTGGGGTCCTTCTTCATTCACCAGGGCACCCAACACTCGTCGGGATCCCCCTCTTGACCATACCTGGGACCATGCTGGTGTTCTGTGATGGAAGCATGCTCTTTCCCAGAGGCAGAGATAGAGAATACTACAGCCGGAGGCCCAAAGGATACTCCACCTCTTGGAGAAGTGACCCATTTGGCATCTCCTATGCTCCTCATGCATCTTCCGTCAACACATATTCACTGGATCTCTCCCATGTGCCAGTATGGGCATGGGGAGGGAGCAGAGAGTAAACACAGACCAAGACACTGTCCCTGCCCTCAGGGAACCCACAGGCAAGAGAGATAAACTAGTATCCAGGAATTTCCAACCCAGAGTGGTAAATTCTGTGATAGAAGATGAACAAGGGACTGTGGGAATATAGGAGAGGCATTCGGCCCAGCCTGGGAGGTCACGGAAGCCTTCCCAGAGGAAGTGACGAGTAGGCTGAGAACTGAAGGATGAGTAAGAGCTAGACTGGGAGGGAGGCAGGAGGATGTTCCAAGCAGAGAGAACAGCATGTTCGCTGTCCCAGAGGGGAGAGTGAACAGAGTGGGTCAGAAATGCTGAAAGAAGTTTGATCTGGCTTGAGTCTGAGGAAGGGGCAGGGAGAGAGGGGCTGAAAGGTGGAGACTGACTTATGAAAAGATGAGCCTCAGAAGGTGCGGGCTGGGTCCTTAAATGATTAGCAGACCATGTTAAAGGTTTTGGCCTTCATCCAGAGGACAATTGGAAGTCATCGAAGAGTTTGAGGCAAAGAAGTGCCATGAATGGAGTCGTGTTTTAGAGCAATCACTCTGGCCTTTAGATGAAGAATACAGATGATAGTCTGAGAATTTAAGCAATCCAGGCAAGGGCTGATGATGACCCAGACCAGAGCAATGCAGGGCAATGGGCAGACTCAAGAATTACTGGCACATATTTCTATGCCAGATGTTTGGGGACGTGGGAAGGGGGAATCTAGGGTAATGCCTGGGGTTCCTAGCATAGGTTAATGGGTGGGTGATGGTGCTATCTAATAAATGGGGGAAGAGAAGCGATTGGGGTGGGGAAGATGCCGAATTTGATCGACGGTAAGGTAGAATAGGACACTCAAGCAAATATGTCCAGAAGCCATTTGGGTATACAGAGTCTGGGGCCCAGGAAAGAGGCTGGGCAGAGAAAAGATGAGGGTAACCCATGAGAATAGGTGGAGGAAGTGTGTGAAACCGTGCATCTGGATGAGATCACCCAAGGAGAACGGCTCTTGGGCATCTAGGAGAGGTCCTTTCAAAGAGATATAGGGGACCCCCACAGGCACTTTACCTTGGCTTCAGCCGGCACCCTTTCTCAGTTCCAGGGCTGAATCCCAGTAGTAGACATCTCTCTGGACCCTAGGGAGACTCCCCAATTAACAAATCCCAAACGAAGTTGAGGCCCTATGTATTCCGAATTTCCTGTTCCCTCTTCTCCTGTCATGTCTCTCTCCACCTCCATCTTCCCAAATCCTCCCCCATCCCTCTCCTCCCTACCTCCTGGAAACCTTCCTTAGTCTCCCAGCCTGGGTCCATCCCTAGAGCACAACCTGTTAACAAATCCAATCTCATCCTGACTCAAAGTCATTGAAGGGGGAAGGGATGCCTCACCAGCTCAAGGGACACCCACCACCTTCTCCTGCCATGACCTCCACCTCATCCATCAAGCCAGCAACTCCTGATCCCCAAAGGGGCGGGGGGGGCACCATCACCTCCTCCTTCTCACATATGAGTTCCTGGAAATGACAAACCTGTCCCCCCAGTGAGAACCTAGCACATAATAGATCCTCAGGAAAAAAAAAAAAATCTTTGGAGGCAAATTCCCCCAGGCTCCCTTCCTGACCCCCAGGGTCTCAGAAGAGCTGTCTGGGGCCAGAGAACAGGAGAAATAAAAGAGAAGTGGGTCCCTCCTCCTTTTACAATGCTGACAAAATGCTTCCTATTCTCACCACACTATGGTGGGAACAAGAGGGTTGGAGGGGATGAGAACAAATTTCTTGATGGTTAAGGAAAGGGGCTGGGGTCAAGATTTAGGCTCCAGTTCCAGCTTCACTGGCTGTGTCAACATGTTGGGCAAGTCGCTTAAACTCTCTAAGCCTCAGTTTCCTTCTTTGCAAAGGGATAATAATTGTGCTTAGCTCACAGGGCTGTCCTGAGGATTAAGGGAAATAATGCCTGTTGGGTGTGCCTGGCACATAAGCGGAACTATTGCTGCTATTACAAGTACGATTATTATTCATGCACATGGTGCCCCACCCAGCCCGGGCTCCCCATCCCATACCCCTCCCCAAGCCCCAGGATTTAGGGGTCCTGTGCCCTGTGGATCTGGTTCTCTCTCCCGGCGGCGTCCGCTGGGGGGCCGGAACAACCGGACACGAGAGTCCCTCCCCTCTGCCTTTCACGCCCCCTCCCAAGCCCCTCCTCCTTCCTGGGGTCCCGGGGCGCGTGCTGGGTGGCAAGGGGGGCGTCCTGGCTCGAGATCCCGCTACTAGGCAGCCCCGCGCCGGTCTCCATGGCGACCGCGCGGGGAGAGAGCGCAGCGCGGAGCCGAGGCGGCCACGCGCCCGCAGCCGCTTATGTAACGCGACGCGCAGCGCGGAGCCAGGCTCGGGGCCGGATCCCAGCTAGGAGCTGAGGGCCGGGGAGAGGGCGGCTCAATAGGCTCGTCCTGGGTCCCGCCCTTCCACCCGCCATCTGGACGGGACGCTAGGCTCCCGGCCTCGTCTGCCGCGGCTGATTTCGTCCCCTCCTTGGAACGGTGGGCGCACTGGTTGCGGGGAGAAGGGCGAGCTTCAGGAGTTCTCAGAGAAGCAGGGGGAACTCGCCCTGAATCCCCAGAGCCAGGACGCAGGCTGATGGGTAGCGGCGAGTGGCGCGCGCGCCGAGAGGCAGGGCCAGACTGAGGCTGAGCCCTCTCCGCCTGGCCCCCGCCCCGCCCCCGCCCCCTGGGAGCTCTCAGCCCGAATCGGCTTTCAATTAAGCTGCGGCGGCCAGAGCTCCCGCAGAGGAAACAGGCGAGCGGCGCGGGCTAAGGAGCCTCCCCCGGGGGGCCTGGGGCCAGGCCTAGGGGAATCCCCAAGCCAGATTGGGGGAGTGGGGGAGGGCGTCAGACCCCAAGGGGATAGGGGTCTTCTTTAGTCCAGAGGATTCTTCTTTAGTCCAGAGGAGCCCTCTTACTCTTCGAGCTATTACCACCTCCCTGAGGTCAGTACCCAGGTCCTCACCTACATCCCCAAGAACATAAGATGAGAGATGGCAGAGGCTCTTGGTCTGATAGTCCCTCTTCCCTCAAGCCCAGCAGGTCCTTAGGGCCCCCTATGACCATCTTGGGGCATCACTAGGAGTCGGTCTCCCTCTGGGACCCCAAATATCTGACCCAGGTCCTGGCCACTCTAGTTCCAGGTTCCGGACCCTACACAGAGAGAGAAGGTCTCCAGACGGGCCCTCTACACTCAGAGTCTAGAAACTAATGGGGAGTGGGTAGAACCGAAGCGAGTTCCTAGTTCGACTCCTGTTCCACACAGAGATGCCTCTTTTCTAGGCCTCCTGAGACCCCTTGGAAACCCCAAGGCCCAGAAAGGCACAAACCTCAGGGTAGAGAAAGCAGGGGCTAGGGGATCGGACCATACCCTGTGTCTGGGGGGAGCAGAGATTATCTCTCAGCCTGAGCCCCTGTCCTCAGAATGGAGGCATCTGAAGGGGATCCTAGATGGCAATGACCCCCGCGCACACACACACACACACACACACACACACACACACACACCTCATTCCCTGGGCACCGCGTCGGGATGCCTGGTTCTGCCGCAGACTCGACTTTGCCAAACCCTCTTCCCCCGTAGCCTCAGCCTGCTGGGGAGGGGGCGGCTGCTGGATGAGGCAACCCCAGGGTCACTGGGGAGATGGATGAGCTAGCTGGCCAGCCAGTGGTTCAGACCCCTGTATACCACTCAACCTCAGGGAGGAAAAGGGGGGTCTTAGACAAAGAATTGGGGACCCTGGTTTCACAGCCTTCCCAATTGGCCACTTGACTCTGACTTGGATCCAGAATCCGGAAGACTTCAAGTCTAGGCTCCCAGTCCCTGGAAGCCCCGCTCTTTCAGTCCTTGGGGCTCTTTGGCCATCCCCCGGGGAGGTCTGCAAGAGTCTCAGCTCAGAGGGTCAAGCAATGCCCAGGGGAGCGTTTGAAGGAGCGGAGCGCCGACAGCCGGAGCGGGAGGCGCGCTAGTGCGCAAGGGACGCAGCGCCGCTGGAGGGTGGGGGGTGGGGGCGGCTGACAGCGTGATGGATGGCTGAGACCGCTGGGGGGCGGCGGGGGGCCTGGGCGCCCGAGGGGGTGGCTGGCCCCGAAGACCTCGGAGCAGGGAAGCCGTGGAGGAGGGCGGCGGAAAGCAAGAGCAGCGAAAGGACTTGCTTCAAGCCCCTGGGCTCCTAGCGAGTCTCCGCACCCACCGCAGCGCGTCCGCAGTGTCCGCGCCGCGGCGCCGGGGATTCAGCGGCTGGGACCCCATTCCTGAGGCCTCACTGGGGAAGCTAGCAGAGCTGACTAGAAAGGCTCCCCCTTGCCCCGCCCTGGCAACCTCACTGTCATCCCAGGGTACCGAGAGGAAGGGGAAAGAGGGAAGAAAGGAGGGTGATCTTGCTTCCCGTCCTGAATAGGAACCCATGGGTACGCGAGAGGGAGAGGGAGATTCCGCAAAGTAGAGCTGAAAATCTCCGGAGGAGGTACGCTTCA